AAACAGTAAAAAGTATGGCGCGAACGTACTGAGCGGCAACATCGCGTGCGTTGCGAGGCCTTGCTGCGGTGAAAACAATAGTCTTTTTTATTATTTTGAATAATTTATTTATTCCAAAGCCATGATAATGTGGTATTCTTTTCAGGTTGATCTTTATAATATCTGTTTATAGGTATAGTTTAACTTTATCTTGGTATTTCATTATCACCTGTTGCTCGTTATTTAAAACCACATTAAATAAACTAATCAGATTTCAAAATATGAATGATTGTTAGTTTCTATTAATATATAAATTACTCTTTCTATTATTTTACAAAATAAATTGATAGTTAGATTCTTTACCTCTATGCAAGTAAAACATTTACTTGAAAATCTTTCGTCATGGTTATAAGTAGTGAGTGATAGTGATAGTTTATTTATTGTTATATTTTTTTTAAGTACGCATTTTTTTATTTATCATTCTATAAAAATTTTAACAAATTTTTAATGAATGTATTAGAATTAAATAACATACAAATAAAAGTTTCATGCAGTTAAAGCAGGGGTCGGGTCACTATTCAACAATAAAAAACAAACAAAGCGAACCAAAATAGCCGGTTGAATAAAAAAATAGTAACCGATGTTGACCTTTCGGAACGCAGCTCGTTACTAGCGCGGCCAGCTGACGCGACGTTGCCAAACCTCAACTCGTTCAATTGTATCTAAACGCTTATCGCCTCTAAGTCGACCTCGTAAAGTTGACAATTGCCAATCGAGTAAAGTATATAAGGGATTTAGGACGTTCCTTCACGGTATGATGACACTTCCCTCCCGCGCGAAAAATTTGAAATGCTTTTTATCAGTCACGCTTGCGACGGCCGTGTACATTCTTGTACTCTATTATGGTTTACAATGATTTTCGCTTTTATGTTTACCAACGACAACCTTTTACAGTGCCTCGGGAATCCATTAACAAGTGCTTAAACTAAACCAAAGTGTCCAAAGGCAGAGTAAATTATTAAAAAAAGTATATTTATTTATAAATTTATTATTAGCTGATAATTTATTTACTAGTGCAAAATATATTGAAAGTTAATATTAATAAAGTAATATAGAACTAAAAAAGTGCAAAACCAAATGAAAAAGTGTGCAATTAACTGGGAATTGGATTTGTGAAAGTGCCTAATAGGCGTGCGTAAAGAGCAAGCAAATAGATTTTCGAGTGAAAAGAGGCTAGATGTCGCGGTGACAAAGTGGCCTACATGCCGGTGGCGCTAGGCTCGCTCGGCGGCGAGGGCGAGTACGGCCATCATCTCTCGCCGCACCCCCCACATCCTCACCTACAATATCATGAGTATGCGCCACCGCCGCCACCACTCTATCATCCAATACCGGACCCTTACTTCAGGTAATGAAACCTATTAGTGTCTATGATTAAACGAGGTCCACAATACTCATGTGGTCATCTACTACCTACTCACAACGTATGTGGTTAGTTTTCTAAAATGATTAAAATCAAATTAACAGAAAAGAAGGATTTTTTTAATGATAATAAAAAGCTTGTATCGTGTAAATATTTTAAATATACACATACATTTTGAAATGTCTATATGTTTTAACCAAAAATCTTAAACTATAGTATAGTTGATGTTACACTTCACAACGAATGCTCTGAATACCTTTTCTACTGTGTCTCTACTTGCCTGACAACTGCGTCTAAACGAAGCATAGAAATTACATTTTTTGTTTATGATTTTTTTTTTAATCTTTTCGTAAATATTTTTACCGAAGCTACCGACGTGCTACCGACCAGACGTTATTTTTAGAGAGAACAATTATTTTTAATTAGATAATATTGGAAAATATTCTTTATGAAAATGTTTAAAAAATCCACCAGGCCCAGGTATTCTGAGATGGGATTAGGATACACGACCTTTCGCAATCCGGGCGACTGTTCTAACCACTGAAACTCAGGACCTAACAGGAGTGACGAATACCTCAAACATTCGTAAAAATATTTCTTTCGATTATTTAAAGCTTGTTCCATGGGTTAATAAATTAACATATTTCATGTGGTTTCATTATGAAATAATTAATAAAAAAACTATTTAAAAATTGAAAGAGCATTTGAAGGAGATTGAAGCTTGTTTTGCATCATGCTAAGTATTTCTTAACTACATAACTGGCAAGGCAATGTGAACTCAATATTTTGATTATGTAGACATATAATTAATGCACAAAATAGTTGTAACATAATAGTAACAAAATAGTTGTATTTTGATTAAAATAAGGTTGTCAAACCTTATACTATATTGTAAAAAAAAAAAATTAGGAACTTTCATAATTCTGTAATACCAGATTAGGCAGACACAGTAAACTGTTCGTCTCCCTACATTTGCGTGATGGGTTAAGGCAAGGTTATACGAAATTATCACCTTTTAAACCAATTTTATACTAACGCTATGCATATATTTGCCAAATAAAAATCATTTTATGAAAATTAAATATATCATCGATTTATTGATAAAAACAAAAACAGAAACAAATTTCTATAAATAGCTCGATAGAAAAAAAAATCGCAAGGACGCATCTTAACTGTATACAAAAATAGCTTTGATATATTCTTTTGATTACAATTTCTTTTTATAACTGCGTTTGATTTTTCTGTGTTTAAAAAATGTATGAAATCAAGCGTTTTTGTAATTAGTATATTTGTATGGGAAGAAGAGGGCCTGTATCCGTATTATTCTAGACGGCAAGACCATTCCCTCACTTTAGCCATGAATAGCGATATTTCGTTTTATCTTGCTTCTAAAACATGTCATTTTTGGCATATTCAAAATCATGTCCAATTTCCACACGTCGATTTATCTGTCATATGTTTTTTTTTTATAAAGACCGCGTCTTCATGATAATTTAAAGTAGTTTTTGCCTAATATAATAATATCTTAGCATCTTTTCATCTGGAGGCCAGGGAGATTCGTAATTTGTAAATAATGGTTTTGAGGTTATAACAGCTGTTAAACTCGAGATAATCGTGAAGCTTCTTTAAAAATTAATACATTTAAATCAAAACTTTTTAAAGTTTGTCTCGTAAATATGGAAATAAATCTACTACTCGTAAGAATTAACATGACACCTTCGAAAACGAAATTTCATTAATTTTCGAAATGGTCCAAAGAAACGCACTTTCCGATAATTTATAATGGAACGAAAGTAGAACCTGACATTCCCTCTGATGCACAACTGATGGCAATCTTCATGTAAAAATATAACGAATCTATAAGATCGATTTGAAATTTTCCGAATTTTCGTTCGACGATGGATGTCATGTTATTTAGGTGTCATGTTAGTTTGTACGATTAGTAAATGTAATTGATAACGTGCACTTTATTGATCAATTTTGTATTTCGGCTGTTTGGCTGGATTGTCCGAACATTGACGAAAATACGCTTTATAGTAGCGAAAAGTAAAAACTGCTTGAAAAATTCGTTAATCCTGTTAGTCTACAATCACCATTCTTTATCATTCGTTCGTCGTTAATAAAGTACCTTTTAAAGTAGTAAGATGAAACGAAATATCGACACAAAATCGCTAAGATGGCATATCCTATGGCTAGAACTATGCCTAGAGAGTGAAGCGGTTGCACCTCTGTATTATTACGGTAATGATGATAATATATTCAAGTTATGAACATGGAGAAGACACTCTAATAATAAACATACTAAGAAAAAACTATTCACGCCCTAATTATTAAAATTGCACTTTTTACAATTAATACGGAATTATATAATATAGAAAGATAATTTTCTATTACTCATATGTGAGATTTATATCGTATTCGTATATACTTTAAAATATAAAAATACCTATATTATTATGTAGGTATACGTACCCAATCAAAACAACAAATGATTGTTAAAATGGTAATGTCCTTGTTCTACATTAGTATTGTTAGTCGTTTAGGACGTAACTAATAGAAATAGAAAATTAATTTTATAGTAATCAAGCAATGATTGTGGCATTATGGCTTACTAGCTTGCCGTCAGCCTCTTCGCTCGTGGTTTTCACGTTTTTGATATTATTCCTTAGAAAATTCATATCATAGAAAATCTAACAGCAAGTGCACAACCGTCCATTAAAATTGTCTTTAGTTTTTAGCGACATTCGGATAGTTGCACAAACGTCAATTAAGGTTTAATGACGCCTTTACGCTCTAATGAATGTCAATATTGTATGAGTAATGTCGCTTTAAACGAATGAAAATTTTAATGGACGTCTGTGCAACTGGCTGATTACCGATACAAATTTGACATTCATTAGACCTTAAAGGCGTCATTAAACCTTAAAGGACGTTTATGCAACTGACCGTAAGGCCTATAGCCTTCCTCAATAATTGGGCAATTCGACACAAAAAGAGTTTTTCAATGCGAACCAGCAGTTTCTAAGATTAGCGCGTTCAACCAATGAAACAAAGTCTTCAGCTGAATAATATTAATATATTATATTTGATTTTGCATTCACAATGCTGTACTGAATAATGCTATAATAATATTCTAATGAAGCATGCTTAAAAAATCCACTTTATCTCTGGTACTCTGTGTGACTGCCCTAACCACTAAGCTACCCAGGACTTAACAGGACTGGCGAATTTAATATAATTATGGATTCATATAGACTTGGATCGCCTGCTGTACGTAATTCATGACAGTTACGTTTATTTAGATTACATTAAACATATACACTTTTTACTTGCTCTTATCAAAAGATTCGAAGTATTTCGCTAGATTTAAAACCATTAATCTTAATAATATTTTCAGCCAAATTATTGAAATAATTGTTTAATTGTGCTGCTGTACAGATGTTATATTTAACGGCAGTGCCGTTCTTAAATATTAATTGATTGTCCATAGGCGGCAAATATGTCTTGGATAGCTGGCCCATGATACATTATTGATGCAAAATTAAATACAAAGATAAATGACTAGTAAAATTAAAGTTTTATTTTTCTTTGTTTTCAGGCGGCACGCCCCATACTTCGGGCAACCAGATTACAGAGTATATGAACTCAATAAACGGTTACAACAAAGGACAGAGGTTAGTAGTATACTTATTATTAAAATTGAGTTCGATTAACACATAAGATTCACAATATTATATCATAAACTAACTGTTTTCCCGCGATTAGCTTTTTATAATATTATTTATAATAAAATTTCGAAGTAAAAGAAGTTAACTTTTATTATATTACGCGTCAGCGCCATCTAGTTTAATCTTATTTACACTAAAGGGTGGCAAAATAATTAATAAAAATAAAATTTCAAAAATTTCCTAAAATGTGATGTAATTTATTTTATACAGTCAGTTTTTTTAATTTAATATTAGCACAGATACACATAAACTATAATATTAGTGATTAGCATTTTTCCGTTTCTTATTATTAGTTATAATAAGAAACGGAAAAATGCACTCTTATTATTAGTAATTATAATTATTAGTAAATATTAATTTCTTATTATTAGTTATAATAAGAAACGGAAAAATGCATAATTGGTTATTTTCTGTTTCTACTTTTTACTTTACTTTTACCCATTTAAGATAAATAGGTACGGATAAGCGTGAATCGCACATGTGCATGATTTAACTTCGTCGAGTTTTTTTGTTTCGTTATCCTAATATAATATAACTACTAATTATTTTCCCGCGACTCCACCCGCGTAAATTATAGCCTCAGTGGCCCGCATGTATGATGTAACTTCTTGTAAGTGAAAAATAATTTTACAATTTAATTTAGTTAGTGTTACCACTACACACTACCATGATAAGATAAATATAAAAAATAATGTATTTTTTTTTCAGGATTCAGATAATTTGTGGTGGGACGCGTTCGCGACAGAATTCTTTGAAGATGATGCGACGTTAACACTTACATTTTGTTTAGAAGATGGCCCAAAAAGATATAGTAAGTTTTATTACTATTTTAAGGTTATAAAATATGGTATATAACCTATTGGAGGCAATGAGTGACATGAATACCAGTACAATACATCATTTTATTGATGACAGACTACAAATGCCAGGTTATAAAAAAACTCACACTTTTCCGTTAGATTAAAGCTTTAACATTGAGAGTTGAGTTCAAAATTAACTGCCGAAATTTGACATATTCTGGTAACCCGACGTGCAGCCGTGTGTTAAAAACTTCTTTGGATGCACATTCATTCAAAAACATTAGTGTTAATCGAGCTTAAATCTCAAAAGTTCCATAATAATAATTTTAAAGTGAAAATATTGTTTCGAAGGTACATACTGTAATGAACAGAGAATTAAGACCTTCAATAATATGTCTTAGTATTCCTCATTGTTTTAAAAATTTTCACTCTTAGCGAAAAAATATGGAAAATGTACTTATAGTTTTCAAACTAAGTATATGTTTTCCGCAATTTTTCATTAAAACTACTAACTTTCTAAAATTGATCGACGTTTGACCTACAAACATCGGACGCCTGACGGATGCAAAATCGGACGTCGAGCTGCCATTGAAGTTCTGTCTATTGAAAATATTCGCAATAATTTTTGTAGTTTAATTTAATTTTGTAAGCTCTCCGAAATAACTGTTAGATACTAATATTTACATAAGTTTCCTTGTCATTATGATAAGAAAGAATGGGATTTCCTGTAACAGGTATTTCCAAACAGGATGCTTTCAAACCACTATTATAAATCTGAAATTTGAAAGACTGATATTAGTAATATTTTTTTATATTTTAATTTTCATTATTTATATTCCACAATGGTTCACCGTAAAGCTATTTTCCAATCAAGTCAAAGGCAAATGTTATGTTATTTCTTCTTCTTTTATTATCTTATCTGCACGTTTCGCACAATTCTGCCAATGTCAAGTAATTAAATTAAAATAATTTCGACGTGTAAAAAATGACAATGAAATAAAAGATCATGTTGATATTTTAAATTACCCCAAATTGTACAAATGACAAAGTCACAGCTAACATAAAGATAGAGATGTGCATAATGTTATCAAAAAACAGTAATGTTATTGTTTCTGAGATAGACAATGGTGCTTATTATTCCGGCTAGTACTACCAATACCCTGTCATATCAACTAATCGTGTAAAAGTGTTTATAAGTAATGTGAAATGAAAATTGAAAAGATTTTTTTTTTTTCAGCGATAGGGAGGACGCTTATACCACGCTACTTTCGCAGTATATACGAAGGTGGCGTATCAGAGTTATATTATACTATGAGGCAACCTAAAGAATCCTTCCACAACACAAGCATAACGCTGGACTGTGATCACTGTACAATGGTGACGCATCACGGGAAACCGATGTTCACAAAAGTAAGTACATACTTAAATATTTATTAGTCTGGTAACTGGTAACAGAAACAAATATGTTACATACCTTTAGTATAGTTAAATACACATTTACATGTTGTATATGTATGTTGTATGTCGTGACCTGAAAATAATCGGTTTCATTCTAATATATGAAACATCGACACATGAATGTGTTTCCGCCTTAGGCCTAGATGGAATTAAAAAGGGAGAATGGACCATATAATGAGCGGATTTAGCCGGGACCAACAACTTTTGTGATTTCTGAACACATAAGTTCGACATAATTTTTTTTTTCTCTACATTTTGGTTTGAAATCTACCTGTAGTAGTTAAATTAATAGAAACGATGTGATAGCAATAGTATCGATACTATTAAAGTATGATGCTCTCTTTAGTGGTGTTAAGCACAATAGTTTCGTAATTCTGTGGTATGTCGATAGTTGGACTGATTCTAAAGATCACAACAGTATTGTGTTACAATTGATAGACAATACACACTGGCACTTGGAGAATCTACTTAAATAGTTATATTAGAAAGCTAATACATATATAGCTATTTATTTACAATTACTTTAATACGAATACTAAGCGTTTACATAATATAATGCATTGGGCCGAATAACATGTTGTGTGTGTTGTTGTGTTGCCAAAAAAGTAGTATTTGCGATGGTACGTCACTCATGATATTCAATTTTGATAGAACGAGAGAGTATTTAATAAATAAAAAAACTGTAGGTACTACATATAAGTGTCACAAGATAGCGGTACAAGCCAATGTCACGCAAGCGCAACGGTGACATAGAAAAGGATGATAAAATTCGTTCGAAATTCAAAATATAAATATTCGAGGCCTAAATATTAAAAGAAACCATCATCAAATCGGAACACATTTCATAGATAATTTAACTGATAATATGTTTGACGCAAATGCTACTAAGTACTGGGTACTTTGATTTCAAGAACTGATTTTTTTTTCTTGAAGTCTTCCCAATTTATGATTATTTTTATGGTTTAAGTAAGATGACAACGACGTCCTACTTCCAAAAATATAGTCAAACACACTACGGTTTAGATTCTTTTGAACTTGTTACTTTTTACATTCCATAGATATTTAACTGATAATATGTTTGACGCAAATGTTACAAAGTACTGGATACTTAAATGACATCGTCCGATATTATTATTTACAGGTATGTACAGAGGGTCGACTGATCCTAGAGTTTACTTTTGACGACCTGATGAGGATCAAGTCGTGGCACATGGCTGTGAGAGCTCACCGCGAGTTGATACCGCGACAAGCGGTCCACCCGCCCGACCACGCCGCACTAGACCAACTCGCTAAGAATATCACCCGCCAGGGTATCACTAACTCCACACTCAATTACCTAAGGGTAGGTATTAGATAGAACTCTTTACTACTTTTTTTTTTTCAATCATATTTTATGATTTTACGCCCTCCTCTCATAAAATTTTATTCAAATAGACTTCTTAAAAGTACTTTTGAATCGTCTAACATTTTTATTCCCTACCACTCGTTCAGGACTTCTTTTGGCTGATAAGAAGAACGAGCAAGAAACTCACCAGCTCTAATAAAAGTAATGACATTTACAAAAACCATGTCATTACCAGATCAATACATTATAAACAGAGATAGAAAAAAAAACTACGGTCTAATAATGATAACACAATCATTTAATAATAATGGAAACAAGATAATAAGTTTAGAAGTAATCACCTATCCAGTTGCTGGATCATCTCAAGTCCAAGCATTCTTATCTATTATATAATCGGATACCTTATAATAAACTTTTTTAATAAGTATTTTTTTAATAGAAGATTTAAACTGCATGATATCTAATTGTTGTATTTTACTTGGGACCTTATTGTAGAAGCGCACACAAAGACTCTTGATTGAGTTATTAACTTTTTGCGTTCTAGTGACAGGCACCGTTAATTTATTTTTATTTCTTGTACTAAAATTGTGTACATCACTTTTTATAGAAAACGAACTAATATTTTTACGAACGTACATTAAGTTCTCGTATATGTATTGAGAAGCAACAGTCTTAATGTCTATTTCGCCCTAATTCTAAGATTAAATTGATCGAATTGCTCTTTTATGAAGCACATAAATTGTTTGTATGTCGGCAGCATTTCCCCACAATAGGATACAGTACGACATAACAATATGAAAGTAACTGAAGTATACTAATCTGGCAGTATCTATGTCAGTTAACCTACGTATTAAGAATGCCCCACTGTAGTTAAGAATCTAATGTTATCCCTGAAAATACTGTGGTATCCACAAGGCCCATGTTCCCACAAATCTCCCGTTTATGTATTAAGATATAAGAAAGTACCTAATCATAAATATTTTCCTACGTTCCAGTTATGCGTGATACTAGAACCAATGCAAGAATTAATGTCTCGACATAAGGCTTACGCTTTGTCGCCGCGCGACTGCCTCAAGACCACATTGTTCCAGAAATGGCAGCGGATGGTCGCGCCTCCTGGTGAGTTATGTCCTAGTACTTTTTATTATATAAGGTGAACTGGGCAATTGTAACTTCTACAAATTCATGTCTAACTAGTAGCAATTGTATTTCTTAGTATGGAATATGAGGAGATATGTGAAAATATGGCAGTTAAATAATTATTCTACAGATGCCTCAATTTATTTGGTAGTGGCGTCAATTACTGATTCAATTATCGAATAACTCGGTATTGACAGTATCGATTAACTCGTTACTGTTTTCAATTAAAATACTTGGACCTTGTTTCAATTTCCCGGTAAACCCTAAATTGCATAATTATTGTTTTTGAATATAAAACAAAATTGAAAAAGCTGTTTGAGACGGCCACTAGTGATGCATCGAATAAGAATATCGTTCATACCATCCAGGGAATACGAATAATTCAATAAGATGATAAATAGTTTGGTACCACTAATAATATTGCGTTGAAAGACCACATCATTTGTGATATAAATGATAGAAAATATTATTTGTTTATAATTATTAATTAATATAAATTAGATCAACTCATTTAACCTACACGTCTGTTACATGAATAATCATATACAGTGAACTAACTATAAATAAAATAGTATGTAGGTACGTTCTGGATACACAGCACAGTGAACAAACAAACTGTAATTTCATTTTTAATAATAATTTTCATCGTCATATTCGTAGAATATGGATCCGTTACAGCACTAATTAAAGCCTAGTCTAGTTTGTGACAACTGGCATTATTATCAATCTAATTAAAAAATATCGCCTACTATTTTTCATTATCGATTGGTACTATTAGAGAACGCTGATAGTTTTGATCGCTAATGCAATAACGTCGGGTAATAATACCATGTACAATAAGTTCTAACTAAAATGGCACTTGAATCTTAGTTTGCGCGTGGTAGATCTGGTAAATATGACGATTAAAAGAACAAAGATCTTTGTTTCGATAATCATAAGGTGTAAAATACTATTTATTTATTTATTTTTTTATTTAATCTTTATTGCCATATTACTGCAAATGGCGGACTTAATGCCATAGGCATTCTCTACCAGTCAACCGGAGAGGATAAGCAGAAAATTTGTAAGGCAGTGACAGTGATAGAGAATTAGTATTCTGAATATAATTAACAATCATACACATATACATACATATATATATTAAGACAATACCCTACATACAAACACACAAATACATAAATAAATATATACATATACAGTAAAATAAACAACGACATGTCAGATTGGAAAGTCAGGAAAAGTTGTTAACTTCCAGATAGTGTTCACGGGGTTTTCTCTTGAAAACTAATCTATTCGGAGCATTTCGTTCGTACACGCATTACGTATCCGTCTCAATCACACTCAGCTGGGATTAGGAATAGTGGATATTGGCGGATCAGTCTTCGGCGCGATACTTGAATCGTTCTGATTGAAAAAAAAAGTTCTGATTATTCCGTTTCTAAATTCAGCCTTCTACTTATGTACCTACATCAGTGATATCAAGGCTACATCAGTTGTTATCTTACTATAACTAAGTTCACATTTTTATAGCACACTCAACAGCACGTCAGACTATTTTAAACTTGATTTTAAACCTTTGTATATTTAGGTTAGAGATGAAAATCCATTGCAGTAGTTTGACATTTGTGGTAACCGGACGTGCAGCCGATGTTGCATACAAAGGTTGTGTAAGAAAGTTAGTTAAGCAATTCGATCAGCTCACTTACCAAGTACACCGCCTTTCTTGTATCTTGATATGGGGCCCCACTAAGTAGCTGCTTTGATAATTAGGTCGCTGAAAGCTTTCATCAACAACTTTAGCTAGGTTTTATGAAATGGATTATATTTATATTTATAATATGCCAGCTGTGCGAGCGGCGATCGGGAAACTTCTCTCTGTTCGTATATAGGTGGCAGCACTTACAACGTAAAGACATAAGTTTCGTTTTGCGAGGTGGTGCGTTTTGTTTAGGGCTTGTGAACCTAAGCATTGCATTATAGAAACAAAATAATAATAAATTAAGACGAATGCTTTGTGCTAATTTGTAAAATTACAGCTAATGAATAATACGGAACAAAGGTTATTATTACTAATTAGTTTGGAATATGAGGATTATTTATTTATATATGTATATGTACCTATATAGAGTCTCAGAGGCCGGCGAGCAAGCGACGCAAGCGCAAGGGCAGCGCGGGGGCGAACGCCGCTCCCCCCGCACCTGCCAAGAAACGATCGCCCGGACCTAACTTCAGCCTCGCCTCACAGGTAAAATACTAACCATTTTCACTAATCTAGAACAAGTTATAGCTCAGTTAAATGCCTTATCTTATGAAATAGACATTGTTTTTTTTAATCTCATAACCTGTCATCTGTCGTCTTACGCAAATGCCAAACGCAAGACGCTACTTAGAATAACGCATAACTTTAGACATTGCTTTATATCGTTAGATAGTTCCTAGTCATTGTTGAAATGAATTTACCTTAGGCAATTCCTAAATATTTAGGTGACAGATTTGAACGACTCTTTAAGTTTAGTGAAAACAGGCATAATATTTAGAATGATTGTTGATTATGGGGTTGCTCACATGTATAGTCAACCGGACGTCAGGTTATACAAATCTATCTAATTTCTTTACTTGATTTTATACCTGTTTTAAAGAGTACAATTCAAAATCTTCTGGAAAAATATTATATACTGTGGTAACCTAAAGTGTTGCCGTGTGTAGCTTATATTTATCGAGTTCCCGATGTTTTGGCGATGTTGCAAGCATCATGATCCATGCACCATGACCATGATAGTTAATCATTTTATGTCAATGACCTTAAAATTTAAAATAACAACAATATTTAGTGTTTTTTTTTTTAATATTGGGTAGGTAGCTATTTTGCAACTATTAAACCTGATGGTATAGACCCACAATGGGGCAAAGGGGCACTTACCTTACTGTCAACGCTGACTTGACGATATATGTGACGTAATAAAATATACGTCACAAATAATAAGGAAAGGCTTAAATTTTGGGTAGTATTGTAACGGGTTCTGTGCTAAGGCTGACTAAGCTTTGATAACTTGATATAGTTTATCCTGTAAATAAAAAACTGTAACGACAAACAAAAAGTATATAAAAACAGATCGTATGGATTTCTAAAATTATAATTAGTAAAGTAGTTAGGTAAAACAGTTACATACCCCTTCCTCGGGTTGCAGAGTAAATAGAACTTTAGTTTACAATTTTCTTTACTGATTTATGATACGTGAAAATAAGAGAACTAACAATAATAAATGTATTTTGATAAAATCTAACACATGTATCACGAATTGATGCCATTTTTTCACTGGATGAATTTTCACAAACTGATATTAAGAAAGAGCAAATTGCGTTACTCAAAAATTCAAATTACGAACAGTGAAATAATAAAAAGAAATTATCTTAAAATTCATAGACAAAAAGTTTGACAATGTAGGACGAAATAAATGGTGTGGTGCGATGCGACGCACGTAAATCATATTATTTATCGCATTTCTTTACTTAATAAATACTGGATACGCCAATGCCTGATAGAAGTAGTATGTGACCAAAGATGGTAGATATATGCCTACCCAGGAAGTGCTCATTCCTTCTGACTTTGAAGAGGCTGACTGCTGAATATTTCAAGCGCTTGTTACTTTTTCGCTTCTACAGATTGTCATCAAAGTTCAGACAATCAATCCAAACAAAGGACAAAACCATCGACAAAGTGGATTTTTGAGTATTTCCCATTGAAACTATTTTATTATAAAATTAGTCAAATTGAAAACTGTTGTTTGTTGACAGGACGTGATGGTGGTGGGCGAGCCGTCGCTAATGGGTGGCGAGTTCGGTGACGAGGACGAGCGATTGATAACTCGATTGGAGAACACTCAGTACGAGGGCGACGGCGTCGAGTGGAGCGCCCCGCCGCCCGCCTCGCCGGCCAAGACGCCGCCCGGCACGCACTGACGCGAAACACGACACATTAATATAGGCCTTTACTGAATAATTTAACACGAGACTTTCATTTCATAATACCCACCCTGATCAGCATTCATAGCGCTTTCAAAATATACCTTGATGATTATAGATTTCAGATATAGCGACATTGAAGAGACAGCGTAATTTCGGCGTTATATCTGGATGTACGCACGCACACAATTTAGTTATATTCATTTATTGTTTAAAGTACATAGTTTGCCTAACACGATATCGTGTCGTGGCGAAATCGGTATCTTCAGCTCTCAGAACACTCAAAATAAATATTTCCAAACTGTTGCGCAAAATGATTAGCTTTATACGTATACGCCTTACCTGTGTATAACATCTATAAGCAAAAGGTCACCGCCTATAACAAAAGGTTATAACAGTTGCTGATCATTTGTGCGCATGTAAACAAAAGATAAGAAAGCGTGCTATTTGCGTGCGGTATCTCAGTTTTAATCCCTTCTTCAGATGCCTCAGAATGTGAAAATAAATTGGATTCAATATTATATAATATCACAAACTGGCTAGAAATCCACAATTTACTGCTCCAATCTTAACAAAACTAAAATGATTCAATTTAAATCTTTCCTTAAAAACAGCTTTACGTTTAACGTATAACTTTAAAGTTTTAAACTGTCAATTCCTCAAGCTCAACGCAATGTATAGGTAAAATATTTCGTAAGTTTTATGTATGCTCTCAAACATCTTAATCGAAGTACGGACGCCAGCATATAATGCGTGCGCACATGCAATTCTTTCCTATGGTTTTATTGTGTGGGGAAACTTCTGTGAGAGGGTTTTTGTACTCGTGTCGTGTCGTAAACGCCATAAAAAAACTAGCAAATTCAAAACGCATACTAAGAAAAAAAAGCAATGGTCACGCTTAGATCTCCTGCCGAAAATGCGCGAATTTTTAAAAAGGATCGAGATCATCCTTGTCAGCGAGCTTCGGCGTCGGCGTTTTGTAAATAATGTATTTTGTTCTGAGCAAGTTTACAGCATATAGTTAATATTGTAAAAAGGTTTATGATGCCGTACACCTTGACTGCCTCATATTGATAACTATATAATCCTACGCAATAGCACGTTACCCCTCAAATACAAATCTGATGGCGCAGTCAAGGTGATAACTGATCGGTGATAACACCGTCATAATCGAATTTCTAGGGAGGAAGCTCCGGATTTGAAGTAGAACAAAGAATCTCACTCTACCTTCTCTCGTTCCCTATCCTGCTGCTGCTGTCCTGCTAGCCCGGACTAGCCTGCCATTTTTGTTTCTGCGTTCGTATTTTCCCTTTCACATCTTGCACCCACCTCGACCACCATCAAGGACGGTATCGTGTCACACTCTCTATACTATTGATTCATTATTAATACAGAAAAAGAACACAACCATAACGACGCAGAGTCTAAATTCAGTACCTACCTAAAATTTGATATATATAATTATATTTCCTTTTTATTGTATATGTTATTATTTGTATTTTTTTTACATGCAAATATATAGTTTACTAAACTTTGTAAGCTTTATTGCTCATACTGATAACAACGTAGTACCATTGCAATACAATTGCACGCCTAGTTTTGTAGTTGAATCATTATGAAGGTGAGACATGCTTGCTACTTTTAGCGTACACTTTATTGGTCTGTCGGTTGAACTTCTCTGCGACACAGTGGCGTAGCTACCAAGGGGCTAGGCGGGGCAGTGCCCCGGGGCCCTCAAACTCAGGGGGCCCTCGACTCTTTAACCGCTCGGATGCCCAAGGGGGGTCCGCGCGCAACGCGCCTTTGCCCCGGGCCCTATGCGCGTGCCTACCTCAAATGTCCCACGAAAAAAACGTGATGACCCTACTTTGCCCCGCCATTTTTTGCGCCGTCAGCGCGCTGGTCGGGTTTCACAAAATCGATTCTTGTGACTCAATTTGTTTAAAAAAGTGTCAAGTATTGTATATATTTATGTTTATTATGAAACTAGCTAAACAATGTTATCTTTTGTTTATCAAATTACGACTTTAGTGCAGCGTTATGCTGTGCTGAACTTAGAAGTAGGGCGTTTTGAAGCTCGTCTTGTATTCAAAAGCTCATACCTCAAAAATAAAAGCGATGACATATGGTTTTTATTCTTTCATTATGTTGTCAATATAATAAATAATAGAATAAGAAAAAAAAAATTATCACTTGTTCATAGATATTTATTATTTAAAAGGCCTTTGTTTTCCATACCAATATCTGGCGCCGCGCGACGTTATTTACCTTAACTTAACAAGGCTATTAAATGCACAAATATCACTCTTAGGGAAAAAAAACTAACACTAAATAAGTAGTCTTATATTCTTTGAAAACAAACAAAAATCATGCGGATAGCATTTACCACATTTGAGAAATATGCATATTTCTTTAACAGTTCTCATACAGTCAGTAAAATTACTCAGATTATCAGTTTTTTTTGTTCTAAACACTTATGGATAAAGAAAAATTAAATCAAAATACAAAAAGAACTCTATTCCCATTCCAAAAAGGTATAACACTTGTACAATGTCATAATTTAAAATCATAAAAGTCAAAGCTAAAATCGAATCGAACTGGACTGAAACGGAACGTTTGTTTTTTCTCGAATTTTTTCTATGGCTTGGATGCTTGACTGGGGTTGTGTGGAAGGGAAATTTCACGAAGAAACGGAACAAATAATACAAATTAGGCCTTGGAGCGATAAAAACGGGTAGAATCAGCTTTTTCGACGGCGGGAGCGATGTTAACCACAGGTTGACATGGTCATAGCTGAGTGAAATGCAATGTCAACTACCAGTTAACACGGGCAAAGCTGACTTCAAGGTTATGTTAACTACTACTTGACATGGTCAATTCTAAATTCTCGATTTGTTAACTATTAGTTGACATGGGCAAGCAAGCGGTTAACAGAAAATCTCATTCGAACTCAATTTTTGAAAATTTCTCCCATTTGCAACCTGTCATTCGACTTGTCACCTGTCAATAAATATCACAGGTGACAACTCGAGTTTAATCATGGCAACTCGGTTGTGAGAAATTCCAAAGTTATAAAAAGGGAATTCCTCTAAATTATTTGTGTGGGTTGACAGTGTTATTAATGTTTTCATCAATTTGTCGGATATCAATATCTGCACATTATTATTTATCGATATGCGTTTTTGTGATTCGCGATTGTGAACTTCGAGTCAAGATTTTTCTTCGAGAATGGTTAAAAAGTCCTGGTCCATTGTACTGGTCCATACAAATGTTCAATTTTATTTGATTATAGTACGTATACATAGGCACGTAAAGAAATCTATAGATTTCGGCTACTCACTATATAACTCAAAATACCGTGAAAAATACAAGTCACATGCGGTAGGGGGCCGTCCATTAATTACGTGATATTTTTGTCATTTTGTAAACCGTCAAATGTGGTAACACTGGCGGCGATAAAATGGTTGCAGGGGATTCCCCAACGACGTCTTGTATCGTATCATTACGTTTCGCTTTCCTTTTTTACTTTTAACGTTGTCAGTGAACAATGAGTACCTACTTGAGTACAATCTTACATAAATATTGCATAAATAAATTAGAAAACTAATATTATGAACAAAAAAAAAGAAACCCAGTGGTGCATTTAAACGCAAACAACGTAAAGAAATAGAAGAAAGTAAACAAAAATTGCCAAATATTTACAAGTTTTTTAGTCAGCCTTATGCAAGTACTTCTGGAGAAAATATTTCTATTGATAATTTTTGTAACTAGCTTGCATGGCGATAGGTTAAATAACAGTAAGCTGGTGTAACGTATCTATGAATAAATAAATATATAATAATCCGTTGAATCTTTTCTATTTCGTTTTATTGCCCAATACCTACCAAGTATAACAATAATTGTAATTTATGTTGTTAGTGTTTAATAGTTTTATTACCTGCCCATGCACGAAAAAGAGCTGATGATAAAGTTGCTTAGCATTTGTAAGTATTTGTATATTTAATGATTTTACTTCAAAAAACCTTACTAGTTTTGATAGCAGTGGGGCCCTATTTTTTTATTTGCTCCAGGGCCCTAGGTTACCTAGCTACGCCACTGCTGCGACAGTAAAAATTTTCTCGTTAGTAAAGAGTTTTTTCCTGGCATCATGTCTGCTCAGCAGCAATGGACGACGTTCGCGTTCAAAAAGTGAACTTTTCTACAGCTATATGCCTTTACTTTCAGTTTACTGAAACGCTCAAAAGAGCGAGTTTCTTCTGAGTGCGACATGGTCTTTCTGTACCGCTGTATTGTGTAATAGCCGAAGTTACGGCTTACAGGAAAACTTTTAAGCTCCCGAAAAATTTGCATCGGTTTTTTTCCCGTCATAAATAGCAAAGGACTTTGCACATGATTTTTTCCTTCTCTATATCACAAGAAAATATAAAGAAATGAATTTGCTATACAAATAGAGTAAAAGTTAACATTCCAAATTGCAAATCGGTAAAAAAATAACAGCTAGTAACATTATTTTTTTAAATAAAAAGTTTGTCTCAAAACATATGAATACACGAGGTGTAAATCCCCGGTTGATTGCTAGAGAATCCAATCTTCTTGCTAACATAGACACGTGCGTCTAAAAGGTATACTGTGAAAGAGAGAGCGTGAGGAAACATTACGCAACTATTTATTCCTTATGTTACGTTTCTGTTGAGAACATCCCTACAATTTGCAAGTCTTAAAGAGGATTTTTTAACTATCAAAGAAGTTAAAAAGCTAATTAGCACGGTTTATGTTAAGAAGTAGCTAACTAAATTGTTTACTTAATAATTTTATAATGGCTCGCTTACACGTATTAAGTTGTTAACATAATTTATGTGATTAACTGTAAATAACATTAATCATTTAAATTTTAGTGAACAATTTAGTAAACTAATTATCCATTTAATCCGAGTAAATAAGCCTTAATTCACACAATAATTACTTAATGTACTCTCTTTATCTATACTTCCCCTTTGGTATAATAAATAATGACTATGTTGCCAACCCAATACAGAAAAGATAATATTATTCTTGTAACATCGATGTATAAAATGCTATCTCTATACTTAACATCATTTTGTTTTCTATTTATATCGATATCGATCTATGAATTTCGAGCATCACTTATTTTCTGAAATGTCATTTTGGCATAACGTGAACGTCGACATCCCACGTCATCGTCGACGTTACAAAGCCCGTTCAAAATCTTATATTAAATTATACAAATTTCTTGAATCCAATAATAAAAATAAAATTAAAGATGATAATAAATTAAAATAGCTATTTGATATAATTATGCATAAAACTGTATGAACTATATATTTATAACAATCCAATTGAAGTATTTATTCTAATGATATTTATTTAAGTTTTTATCAACAACAATCAACCTTTCTCCTGATATTCCTAGTTTTGAATGTGACTTGTCATTTGTAGTTGTACGTGGATAGTGAGCCCATCTCAAAAACGGGAATATAAATTCTCTTTTTATTTATTAAGTCACAAAGTGTAAAAGACTGCAAAATGGTCACAAAATATTTAATTTCTATCCTTGTCATTTCTGTAAGTGGCTCACTAGCACAGAGCTGCCAAAATCCTCAAGTTGAAGCGGCCTCTTTTACAAGTTTAGATGCGACAATTGTAACACAAATAGCTTATATTACTGAGTTCTCTTTAAAGTGTGACAATCCTCTGCCAGAAAACTACGCTCTGTATGCAGAAGTAGATGGAAAATCATTAACAGCGGCGCGTGTTGGTGATAATAAATATCAGGTCAGTTGCCCATTCAACATAACAAAAATTGCTTTTTCACAGTGAATGAAAATAAATAAAGTTAAACAGACTTGTGTGTAGCTTTAAGTATAACATAAATTTGTCAGTCTCAGCTCTTGAATGTTGTTATTTAAGTATGCAGATACTTAAATAACAACATTCAACAGCTTTTTACCTACTTTATTTATTGTAACGAGTGCTCTTTAAATTTTCTAATTGTATAGGGTGACAGCCTACTCTCTATAAGATTAGATATTTATTTTATTATAATATAAAGACTTTCTGTTAAGTCTGATTGAAAATTTAGTTGATAAATGTACATGTTAAGTTTCTGTTTCAGTTTTTATTAAAATATGACTTCAATGTTATTTATTTAAATATTGTACTAATTTTGTTTAAGGTGTCTTGGACAGAGGAGCCGTCAAGGGCCCGTTCAGGTGTACATGAGATCCACATTCTAGACGAAGAAGGTTTTGCATCCCTACGACGTGCTCGTCGCTCTGACCCAGCTGCAACAGTCTCACCCCTACTAGCTATTCAATTGCAGCACCCTGGCAGTGAGTACCACTTTTTCTAGTCTCATGTCTCATTATATAAATCACTGATATTACATTACATTACTTATGTAAAACTTAAGTTTACATAATACCACAAGTAAATAAATAATTTTCACCACAATTTAATGGAAAATTGACAAAACATTCATATATTCAGAAGAAGACCTAATTATTGCATTAGGTTGACAATTATGGTGTAAATTCTATTAATTAATCAATTCCTATATGTTTTTACATAACCTGTTAAAACTTTAATGTGATACAAAATTTGTATCTTTTTTATAGGCTACTCCGGTCCTTGGGTGAATTCAGAGGTGCTTGCAACAGCTATATCGATACTCGTCGCATACGTCGCCCTTAGGAACAAAAGCAAGATACTCGCTTAGATAAATAATACTTAAAGTTTTGTTTTATTTTTTAAATAAAATTCTTATTTATAAAACAAGTGGCTTTATTTGAAGAAACAATGTGTACATATTTGATTTGGGTTGTCCATTCTATAAAATATTAGAATATAATAGTTGAGTATGTGTAAAATTAGTGCAAATTTCAAACTTGACTTCTTTTAACAAAAAACTTGTTTTGCTCTGCATTTGTAATTTTTTTTTAATGCGTTGTATAGGCCAGTTCCCTTTGCTCTGAATTAATGTCAACAGAAATGAAAGAACTCAATAAATTTCAGTTTTTTTTATTATAGAAATAGGACCGGAAATGATTATCTTTGATCCATTAATTTCCTGCAAAACTTAACTTTTGGTAGAGTCGCCATCTAGTGAGGGGCTTTTTAGCGCTTTCTTTTTTTCTTAAAATACTTCCTCACCGTGTCATGTCAATGCTGTTGACATTCAATTGTCACAAAATATTTGATTTTTCTAGTTTGAAAATATTTGTTAGTTTCTTGTGTTTGAAATGAAATTATCGAAGAAACATCAATTAATCATACGCTGATTGCTGGCTGAAGTTTTTTGGGCCTATGCTACACATTTAGGTTATGTCATTGTAGGTTATCCAAAGTCTATATTTCAAAATGACTGTGAAACCTCGAGAACGACAAGAAGACGGAGACGATGACCCAGTTGAGTCTATGTTAAAGAAAACGGGATGTTTAGAGTTACATTACAAAGTTCAGGTAATCTAGTATAAATAGTTATTGGGTCCATTAATTTACCAATCATTACCAATGATATGGTAATGGTAGTACTCACCTACTGAGTCTATCAAAGCTCCTGTTTTTCATTTAAAGATAATTTAAGAGATTTGATAAATTGAATAAAGAAATATTTTTATTTATGTATAAATTTGACATACGTAAATAAACTTATTTAGGGTGATTACATATAAATTAATATTAAAAGAAAATAAAACTTTCCTATTGATTTATGCATCATAATAATCTTGGGTAGTTTAATAAGATTATTAAACTAATAATCTTTTGACTGATTTTGTACTAAGAAATATTGTCTGTTACATTTCTAGGGTTCTGTATTAGCCAAAACAACAGAAATAAAATCACAAAGATACACCTAAAATAAAACATCTTTCATTTCTTGATGTAATATTTTTTATAACAAATATGACAAATGTGTAACAAATTGTATTGTGTAAAAATTTTTAAGATGAAAAAGGATATATGTGATGAATGTGAGAGAATAAAGAATTTAAGTGAAGAAGTCAAAAGAAGGAAAAGAATCATATAGAGGACAAAGAGAGAGAATAAATTTCAAAATGATGATGTCAATACTTTAAGTAATAATTAAAAAAACCTGTAAAATACACAAAATGGCAACTACAATTTTCTTACTTAGATATATATTACAAGCTTTTTGTTTTTCTTCAGGAATGCATTGCCACTACTAAGGACTGGAGAAAATGCCAAACAGAAGTAAACAATTTTAAAAACTGTATTAACAAACATAAGCAAGAAGAAAGTTCTAAGATAAAAAAATAATTTATTGTGCATAGTAAAAATAATAGCATATAAAATAGTATACATAATTTTATCGTTTATTATTCTTAAGAAACTGAATTTTATTAAATTTTAAATTTTTTTTTGTTTATTGAAAATTCCAACATTTGTACCCTCTAACAACTGAACTTGTTTTATTAAAGGTAAGTGCATTCCTTGTACCTCATACAACTTTACTTGGCGCAGCTAACCTGAAGATAAGACTGTGTCATTTTCCGCCCCTCTTGTATTGAAGTAGTTCCTTATAGTGATGCCTGTTGTTTTGACAGACGCTGTTTTTTCTTCAACGCGGTTTAGTTTGCAATGTTACGAAAAAAACCGTCGCATGCACAAGACTGAATCGACCATAATGGGTATACACACAACCAAGATTTGTGTTGTGACGTCATATTTTCATGGTTTTGATCACGGCGTCATATATTTAGGGAAACATCTTTTGCATGCACAATTTGAGCAGGAGTTCATACTCCCAACTTGTAGGTACGTCCTGACCACGCGGCGCTTACCCTACCACAATCGCTGGCAAAAGCCAATTATTTATGAAACCAGCCTAAATTCATAATGTGCATGTTGATACCATGAGCGTATTTAGAGATATTTTGCAGGGGAGGCCTGGCTTCCAGCAAACTGCAACATGGGTGTTAAGGAATGTGATTTAGTTCTGTATACTCTGTGGTATGTTAAGAACCTATTTAGAGAAGTAGTCTGTGTGCTCCTTCTGTTTCGTTTACTGCGTTCTAGAAAGATGTCTTAACGTAAGTTGATTTTTGTTTAACAAATAAATAAAAGTGATTACCAAATATATAAATTATTCTCATTTTGTCGAGCATACCAACATGGTAGCAGAATACGTAGTTTATTGATTTGTGGATATCTTGATAGTACAAAAAGTAAGAACAAAATGGCAGAATTAAAAGAAATACAATTGCAATTATTTGATGGCACGAACTATATTAAATGGAAATTTAGATTGAAACTGTTACTAGAAATGAAAGATTGCATAGATGTCTTATGTGATTTTAAAACAGAAAAAGGTAGTGAAGCCGAATGGATGAAAAAGGATATACGCGCAAGAAATTTTATTGTGAATAGTGTTAACGACGCGCAGCTAGAGTTGATAATAAACGAAAAGACAGCAAAGGCAATGCTCGACAAATTAGATTACATGTATGAGAGTAAAAGCAGTGCAAATAAATTATTATGTAAAAGAAAATTGCTTGAATTAAAAATGGCGGAAAATGAAAATCCCTTAGATTTCTTAAATAAATTTGAAAAGCTAGTTAATGAACTGAAGAATACAGGAGAAAATGTTTCAAATGAAGACAAGTTAAACTATTTATTGTTGAGTCTACCAGAAAGACACTCAAATCTAATAGATATAATCGATGCATTACCCGAGAAAGAAAAGTCTACAGAGTATGTGAAGTCAAAATTATTATTAGAATACAAAAAGAAGAAAAATGATGATACAAGCAGCAATCCTCAATCATTTATTACAGAAGCACAAAAATTGAAAAATATTATATGTTATGGATTGCGGACAACAAGGTCATGTTATAAGAAATTGTTCCAAGACATTAAAGAATAGAGATCAGAATAGAAATGAAGATTATTCAGGAAGAGGAAGAGGCTTTAAATATTCAGGAAGAGGAAGAGGCTTTAATTATTCAGGAAGAGGGAAATATTCATCAAGTAGAGGAAGTACAAGGACAGCGAGCAACATTCACATTGACAATAAGGCATTCAACGTCGAGGTGATGACATCTGAAATAGAAACAAAAGAAAACAAGAGTAAGGTAACATGGTTATTAGATAGCGGCTGTTCAGATCACATAGTTAATAGTGAAAGTTATTTTTCAGAATGTATAACTTTGCAACAACCGATAGAAGTAAAAGTAGGTGATGGTTTTGTTTTAAATGCTACTAAAATTGGAAATATTAACTTATATTGTAAGGTTAAAGGTAAAAGTGATAAAATCACTATTAAAAATGTATACTATGTTCCAACTATGAAACAAAATTTGTTAAGTGTGTCAAGAATTGTAAAAGCAAATAATAGTATAATATTTGATAAAAATATTGCTAAGATATTTAATGTGAATAAAGATTTAATTGCTGTAGCTTACTTATACAATAAATTGTATATGTTGACTGGTATAATATATTATAATATGAAGAAAATTGTTAAGTCATATACAAATGTGTCTCAAACATCAATTAATAATGATAAAGCAAAATGGCACCGAATTTTAGGTCATACAAACTTTAAAAACTTAGAGCAAATGTGCATCAAGAAATCGTTACAAGGTTTACCTAATAATCTTGATAATTCTTATATACAGTGTGAAATATGTCTTTTGAATAAAATGAGTAATTTACCTTTTGCTAACAATAGACGTCGATCTCGTGACATCTTAGAATTAATACATACAGATGTGCATGGCCCAGTAAATCCTACAGGTTATAATGGTCAAAAATATTTTGTAAGTTTTATTGATGATTACAGTAGGATAGGTTTAGTATATTGCATAAATAGAAAAAGTCAAGTGTTTGATTGTTTTGTACAATATATAAAGTTAGTGCAAAATAAAACAAATAAGAAAATAAAAGAAATTAGATGTGATAATGGAAAAGAATACATAAATAAAGATTTCTTTCAGTTTTGTAAAGAAGAAGGTATATATTTGAACCCAGCTCCACCATATACTCATGAACTCAACGGTGTTGCAGAAAGGTATAACAGGACAATTATGGACAGAGCAAGATGTTTAATGCAAGAAGCAGAAATAAGTAAAATTTATTGGCCAGAATGTGTAGAAGCAGCTGCCTATATTGGAAACAGATTGTTAACAAGTACCCATTTTTCAAAAACCCCATATGAAGTATTTTTTGGAGAAAAACCAGATGTGTCACATATGAAGATATATGGAAGTAAAGCTTTTGTAAGAATACCTGAAGAGTGTAGAGGATCAAAGTTAAATCATAAGTCAGTTAAAGGAATTTTGGTTGGATATACAGATATGGGTTACAGAATACTAGTGAATGGTAAAATAATAATAAGCAGACATGTGAGATTTATAGAAAATCAAAATAAAGAACATATAGAAGTCATGAAAAAGAATGAATATGAAAATAGAGAAAAGAGAAAGTCCTTTATTGAAATAAAAAGAGAAGAAAGTAATGGAAAAGAAAATAAAGAAGATAGAACAGAAGATGAATATATGACTAAGGAGGTGCATGAAATAGGAGAAGAATTACCTAAAAGATCAAGGAGATTACCTGCAAGATTTGATGATTATGTGTTAGAAGCAAATTACTGTAATGTAAATATTCCTAATACCTATGAAGAAGCTATAAATGGTACAGATTCTAAAAAATGGAAAGAAGCAATGAAAGAAGAAATAAAATGTATTGAAGAAAATAAAACATGGATAGTAACAGAAAAACCTACTGATAAAGAAATAATAGAAGTAAAATGGATATACAGAATTAAGTCAAATGGTAAATACAAAGCTAGAGTAGTCGCTAGAGGATTTCAGCAAACATATAATGAAAATGAAGAGGTATACTCACCTGTTGCGAAAATGACTACACTAAAAGTATTATTGTCTACTGCTTGTGTTTATGGATGGAATATAGAGCAAATGGATGTGGAAACAGCTTTTCTAAACGGTTATATAAAGTCGGAAGTTTACATATACCCACCTGATGGCTATGATATTAAAGAAAATAAAGTATTGTTATTGCAAAAGTCATTATATGGGTTAAGGGAAAGCCCACGTGATTGGTATGAATGTTTTCATAATTTTATGAATAAAATAAACTTTGAAAGGTCTAAGTTTGATTACTGTTTATATACTGGATGCATAAATAATAAGAAGATATATATAATTCTATATGTTGATGACTTGTTGATTGTTAGTGAAGATATAAAAATAATAAATGGTGTAAAAATTATGTTAAACAGTAAATTTCGTATGAAGGATCTAGGAAGAATAAAACAGTACTTGGGAATAGATATTCAGTATAATATTGAAGAAAAGAAAATTTATTTAAGTCAAGAAAATTATATTGTAAGTGTGGCTGAAAAATATAAAGTGATAGATTCTAAAAAAAAACTATGAAACACCAATGGAGATAAACTTAAAATTAGAAGGTACAGAAAAGACAAATGAAAATTCAAAGTATAGAAGCATAATAGGATCATTATTGTATATTGCAAATGGAACTCGTCCAGACATAACCTTTTCAGTTAACTATTTGAGCAGATTTCAGAATTGTTGTGATATTACACACTACAAATATGCACTAAGAGTGTTAAAATACTTATATAATACTAGAAAACTAACATTAAATTATTCTAACAAGTTCACTGATGTAATGGATGCTTATGTTGATGCTGATTGGGCTTCAGATATTATTGACAGAAAGTCTACAACTGGAATAATGATAAGAGTGTTTGGCAATGTAATATTGTGGAAATCTCAAAAACAGAAAATTGTATCAAGAGCTTCTACTCATGCAGAATATTATGCACTAGCCGAATGTGTTGAGGAAGTGTTACCGATAAAAGGAATATTGTGTGATATTGGTGTAAATGTAAAAGAAAGTGTTAAGATTTATGAAGATAATAGTGGTGCAATTTCATTGGCCAAGAATGGTAAATTTTGTAAAAATTCTAAGCATATAGAAGTTAGTTATCACTTTGTATATGATTATGAAAAGAAAGGTCATATTAATGTTGTTAAAATTAGTACTGATGATCAGATAGCTGATATTCTCACGAAATCTCTATGTAAAGCTAAGTTTCAAAAGTTCAGGAAAATGTTAGGTATAATGTAAGTTTTGATATGTATGTAATGTTTACTAATATGTGTTACTAAGCGAATATTGTAGTTAGGTATGTATTGCATCTTGTTTGTTAAATTTAAATACAGTACAAAATCAAGGAGGTGTGTTAAGGAATGTGATTTAGTTCTGTATACTCTGTGGTATGTTAAGAACCTATTTAGAGAAGTAGTCTGTGTGCTCCTTCTGTTTCGTTTACTGCGTTCTAGAAAGATGTCTTAACGTAAGTTGATTTTTGTTTAACAAATAAATAAAAGTGATTACCAAATATATAAATTATTCTCATTTTGTCGAGCATACCAACAATGGGGAGAAGTTAACTCGGAGATAGCAATACTTTTTGTATAATAACAGTTGAAGTATGTGATTGTGTTGTGGTGGGTGAACATTCAGTCCTTATTGTAGTTCTGTAAAAAGGCGGAAATCTTTCTTGTGCGAAAGATATCAATAAAATTGTAGTATTTACTGTAATTATCAGTTTGTTTGTGTTTTAAAATGGACTTACTGTAATTTAGTGTTTTATGTCGTATTTTACTGTACGTCGTTGCTATACTTCTTACTCCTTTGCCATTACTACATCAAATTTAAAAAAAAAGTTTCGATTTGCTTTTTGAGGTTATGAAAATGTTTAGAAAATTTAATTTACGTTTTATCTCATCTTTTCATCCAAATCATACGAAAACAGTAGCTATTGACTCAAATTTAAGGGAGAGCTTCGAGAATAATGAATTTAAACCCCGCAAGCACCCCGGGACTGCTCGGATCAAAATCGCTAGTATACCTCCAGAAATTCAGAAAGCTATTATGATTATCTTAAAAGATACAAACGCTAAGGCGATGTATCAAGAAAGTGTACAACTTAATAATTACCTGAAATCTAGACTCCTACCTCCAGAGGAAGGTGACATAGACTTAAAAGCCGAGAAAGTTTATAAAAATGTTTCAAAACAAATGACTTCAGACTTGAATAAAGAACTATCTAATGAGGAGAAAGAACAGCTAAATAAAAAGATACAATCAAAAGTATTTAATATTTTAAAGAAAAATATTTATAGGTGGGCGAATATTTCATACGACAAACCTACTTGCTTGCAGTATCTTATGATTAGGGCTGCTCCAGAATATGCTATACTGGTTAGAATTTTAGACGAAATAAAAAAGAAATTGCCCGATTATAAACCAAGAAGTTTCTTCGATTTTGGCTCTGGTGTTGGAACAGGAACATGGGCTATGAACACTTTATGGCCTGACAATCTATATGAATACTTTTCTGTTGATACTTCAAGCCACATGAACGAATTGGCGCGTCTGATATTATGTCAAGGGAAAGATAATGTACAAATGCCATTGAAAGGATTTTTTCAAAGACAATTCCTGCCTGCCTCATCAGATATTAAATATAATATAGTATTATCTGCTTTTTCTTTATTTGAAATGCCTACTCTGAAAAGTAGATTAGAAACTATACAAAAACTCTGGAATAAAACAGAAGACTTTCTTATAATTGTTGAAAATGGAAGTAATGCTGGCTTTAAGATTGTGAATGATGCTAGAGAATTTATTTTAAACATGCCAAAATCTAAGAACGGAGGGTATGCATTCTCTCCATGTCCCAACGATGTCATATGTCCCAGATATTTAGAACAACAAACTCCATGTAATTTTCTTATGAAATATGTATCATTACCATTTCCTTCGAAACAGGAAGTATCAGCAGATATATTCTCTTATGTAATTTTAAGGAAAGGTGAACGTCCATCTGATGATTCTCAATGGCCCCGTATTGTACGAGCACCAATTGTCAGATCAGGACATACAATTTGTAGATTATGTACAGCACAAGGGGAATTAAAAGAAGTCATATTTAGTAAGGGCAAACATGATCAAACTACCTATAGATGTGCTCGTTCAAGTAATTGGGGTGATGAGCTACCAGTGAAATAAATAGAGATTCAATTAATGGTCCTTATTTTATTTCAATAATTTAACCTTAGTTTGACCATTCATCAGGTTTCCATAATATGTCAATTTTCTCCAGTTGGTTTTAATCTCTACCCACAATAAATAAATAAATATTTAACAACATCACATACATTGCTCAGATTCCAAGATGAGTAGCTAAAGCCCCCGTATTATGGAGTATCTGATACAACGAAGGTACCACAACACCCAGACCCGAGTCAATATAGAAAAGTTCATTTTATACATTGACCCGACCGGGAATCGAACCCGGGACCTCAGAGATGGCGACACCTTGAAACCGGCGTGCGAACCACTCGGCTACGGAGGTCGGAATTAAAGCTAAAAATCAATGAAATCTGACAAATATAGATATATGAGGGGTATAAAAGCAAAGGCGCTTCAGTCACAAAAATACCTAGACTGAAAAACCGCAAATTTTCACTGTGTCGTAATAAATTGTATTTTTTATCAGAATCCGATGTTGGTACATTCAATAGAATACATTAATCAAATAACAATAATCAAAACAAATAAAATATACATAAATTCTTTATAATTTAAGAAATAATGTAGGACTGAGGTGTTTTTGCATTTAAGCGTTGGACTAAAGCATGTTTGCTTTTCATTGTTTTGGATCGAAGCTAATTTGCATGTCACTATTTAATTCGTCAAATGTCAATAAAAGGCGGTACCGATTGCAAAATAATACAATGTTTTACAAGATTATGAATTTAATTAATTTTGTTAACAAATTAGTTACAGGTACTTAAAAACAGGACATCATATTGTATTATAATTAATTATGAAAAGTAAAGATAAAATATTATTCTTGCGCATGTAAAAAAAAACTAAGAATTAAATCATAGTATTTGAATCCGTTGTGGGTGGATCGCAGATAGGCTCATCCTCTTGAACTGAATCACTGTTATTATTATTCAAAATATTATTGTAATATTGGAGTTCATTAAGATTTTCCCACTGCGGTCCATAGTGTTTCTCCAACAATTTCCTCACATCATTTTTTTTCTCTGCTTATAATGCCACATTATTTTTTGGAAGTGGCAATGGCAGAACATCCTTGAAAGATTTCCCTCTTTTTAGAATGGATTTTAATTGGGTAAAGTCAGATGTTTAATGGAGTTCCCCTTTAACTTTTACCTTATTACCAATCCTACTTATAAAAAAAACGCTTACTTTGCGCAAATTGAAAATGCCACTGACCAGGCGGTTTAATAATATCCTGTAGGGCAGATATCCAGTCATAAACCATCTCTATGTTGATAACCGTCGAATTTTTTAGCCTTATGTTTGTGAATTGTTTTTTCTATCATGTACTTTGCTTTAACTGATGAATTTTGTTCACTCTTAATTTGTTCGTCCAGTTCAGTACATTTCGAGCAAACATCAGTTTTTGGGTTACAAAATCCTAGATTATAATGCGTATTAAAAATTCTTCAAAAATAACACTGCTTTACAGAATCTATTGCTTGTTTATTAAACATTTGCCCCATTTTTTAATGTTTAATGTCGAATCTAAATATTTCCTTTGGGTAGAAGACAAGCAATAGTGAGACTCTATACACTTAAAGGATTCAATAAATGTTTTAACTTCCTGTAGTTAGTGGTCATTTTTATGTGATGTGTGATCTCCTCCTCTATTTTCTTTTACGAGACCACCAGTTGTTTTATAAATTTCCGCTACCCTGCGGATTCTATTCCGCGGTATTTGCAATATGCCCAAAAAAGTTGATTGGCAAACGTGGAGCAAGTTATTAGAATTCCGTTTCCTTACAAATAATTTCGTGGAGTAGCTTGCCTGGCGTGCTGGCCCCTGTGTTCCTAGCCTGGGACGACGACGTTGAACATCAGCTACTTCACAATATTTTAAAAGAAAAGCATCTTGACCTTCTTTTGATTTATTAGCATAAAAAGCGTCATGAAAATATTTAGCATTAGTCAAACTTATATTTTTGCAGTCGTAAATATTTTTTTTGTTGTGCTGACATGCAGGTGTGGGAGATCTTTAGCAGAGTACCTTAAGCAAATGAAAATAAAACCCATTACCAAAAGCAGAAAAAAACTGTTCAGTATAGCGCGAATAAAATGTTAGTACGTTACGTGCTTTAACAAATAATTTAAAGAAAATTGAAATAAAATTTAGAAGAAGCATTCTATGCAAACCCTACTTAACCTTTTCATAACGGCCAAAATATTAGTAAATTGTTTGTTACCTTTCTGCTTTTTCCTTCACTCTTCGCCACTGACTTTTATTTACCAGACATTTCCGTGCTCGTCCTGCACATGCTGGTGTAATGTTTTCTTCCATTACAATAAGTTATTTAATAAAAAACACAAATTAAACACGCGCTATGCTCAGTCAACTTACTATGAAAAGTAACTAATTCGCCATCTTAGAAATTTTGAAATGGCTGCTTCTGGTTGGTTGATTGTGATCGAGGCGGATTTGCTCCTAACAAATTTTGGATCGAAGCGGTTTTGCATCTAAACGCTACTTTCTAAGTGAATTTTATGTAAGATTGAGGTGGATTTGTATGGTGCCGATTATACGAGGGTCAAACTGAAAGTTCTTAGAACTGGCCACTTATAAACAATATAATAAAAAAATAATTCTAAAATTTGAAAATATAACTCTTTGCCAATATTACTGAGTATATATTTCATTCATTTGTCATTTGTTTTACGATTTGGCGGCAAATTGAAAATTGTCTGTGTCACGTCATCATGAATTTAACACGAGAAAATTTTCGTGCAATGATTTTTTATGACTTTCGATGTCATTTAAGTCAACAAGAAAGTTATGATAGACTACGATTGGCCTTTCACGATGAAGCCCCATCTCGTGCGACTGTTTACAACTGGTTTAATGAGTTTAAACGTGGTCGCACTAATCTCACTGATGATTTACGTGAGGGACGGCCTTCTACGGCGACGACTGAAGATAACATCTGTGTTGTGCGGCGTATGATAGAGACTGACAAAAGAGTGACCTATCAACAGATTCGGACAAGCTTAGGCATCGGTATGAGTCAAGTGCACAAAATCCTCCACGAACATTTAGCGGTCAGGAAGCTTTGCGCCCGGTGGATACCTCATAATTTGACTGAGGCTCAAAAACTCCATCGTGTGGATTGGTGTCGTAAAATGATTGAAAGATTTAACGGAGGTGACTCAAATGCTGTGTTCGACATACTAACAGGTGACGAAAGCTGGATTTACTGTTATGATCCTAAAACCAAAAGACAATCTGCTCAGTGGGTGTTTCCTTTCGAGGAGTTGCCAACTAAAGTGAAGAGAGATCGAAGTGCGGGAAAAAAAATGGTGGCCTCGTTCTTTGGAAGGATAGGTCATTTTGCAACAATTGTGTTAGAGGATCAAAAAACAGTTTCTGCAGAATGGTACACTACCAATTGTTTGCCACTTGTCTTGGAAAAAGTTCGAGAGAAACGACCTCGCAGTAGGATCCTCCTTCACCACGACAACGCCTCGTCGCACACCGCCAAGCGAATGATCGACTATTTGGCGACATCAAACGTTGAATTACTGGGTCACCGCCGTATAGCCCCGACCTCGCGCCTTGTGATTTTTATTTATTTCCAAAAATTAAAGAAAAACTTAAAGGAAAGCGGTTTATGAATGCTGAAGAAGCGGTGGCTGCGTATCGCGATGCCATTGAAGAGACCCCTAAGGACGAGTGGGCAAAGTGCTTTTCCCAGTGATTCCATCGCATGCAGCGGTGTATTGACGTGAATGGACAATATTTTGAAAAGATATAATAAAACTAATAACTGGCTAATGTAATCAGTTTTTGATTTTCTAAGAACTTTCAGTTTGACCCTCGTAATATATTTTAGCATTTTTTTATCGCTACAATTTGATGTGCTCAGTGTAAAAATCAACATTTTTGGACTGAAGCGCTTTTGCTTCTATACCCCTCATATATAACCTAACATGCTGTTGATTGTATTTAGCAATACTCATATCTTAGTACAAGAGCTTGTGACAATAATGGACTGAAAGTCATTTTATTACTAGGTAGTTAATAAAACAATACTCAGACATTCAATGGAAAAACCTTTATAAAACTCTTGCACATCTGAGTTTATTTCCTACATGAGAAAGAAAGTCTGTTCTTGTAAGGATGGTGTAGGATTGCACACTTTTTGGAAAGTAATTATTTGCTTAGCATTTTTGAGAACTTTTTAGCTTAGATCAAATATATAATTGTTAATAGATCTAAAAGGTAGGAAGCTAGGAAGTTTTTAAATATTTAGTTTGATAATTACGTATGCACAACCGCAAGATTACTGCGGTAATATATATAAAACAAGTAAATAATACATACATTTACATATTAGGGGCCGTCCATTAATCACGTGAGGCTCGAAAGGGGGAGGGGGGATTCGTCAAAAATCACGAAATATCACAAGGGGGGGGGGGGGTAGTAATATATCACGTGTATTTATTTTTTCCTCGACGTGCGATTATTTAGTTCATCACGTACTTATTAAATTGGTTTTATTAGTACCTACCTCTTATAAGAGGTAGGAGCAGGATAGCGAGGGCAGGGCAAATTAAAGTGAATTTAAACCCTACGTTTTAAGTCATTCTTAGCTGCGTATCCAAATATCGCTCGCATACAAAAATCGTTAACTAGGTATTTTTCGTTCATCGGCAATAAATGATTTCCGATTAATCGTTTAATATCGGCTTTTTAATAGGGTTGGGGGAAAAAGTTTCTTTACATTTTATGCGGGAAGCGTAGGACCGATCACGTTGGAAATCTTTGGGGAGGCCTATGCCCAGCAGTGGTCGTCTCTCGGTTGTTATGATGATGGCATTTTATATGGAATTTGAAAACATTTTTATTCAATAAAGTTTATTTACATTTGACTAAACTGTGTAGGTACCGTTTTCTTCGATATCTTTTTGCCATCTTGTAGGTAGGGACATGATCCCATTGCTATATTTTAGGGCTTCTGATCAAAATACCGCCACAAGTGGTTTTGGGTTTCGTCGCGTGATGTTAACCTGACACAGCTTAAAGAATTCTGAAGTGACAAACAGGTGGAAATCTTAAGGTGCAAGATCAGGACTATACGGCAGATGTATTAACAATTCTCACCCAAACTCTTATTTTTTGCGGAATGGCAAAGGATGTGTGACGCTAGAGGTCACGTTATCATGATGAAAAACCACACCCCTGCTATTGATTAATTCTAGGCGCTTTCTTCAACTTCTTGCTTTAATTTTATCAGTTGTTCGTAGTAGAGTTCACAATCGATGGCCCTGCTTGAGGGTAACAGCTCATAATTAATAATGCCCTTCCAATCCCGCATCACTTTATTGCAAGTTAACCGGGGTTTCGCCACAGTCTGTGAAGACTGACCGAACTTTGACCACGACCTTTTTCGCACGTTCTTTTCGTACGTGATCCAATTTTCATCACCAGTTATTAGCTTCTTCAAAAATGCTTCAATTTCATTACGCTGTAATAAAGAATCACAAAATACAAATGGTATAGCCAGAAAGACTTTATTACAAGTTTATGCATACCACTTATGTGCGAGAAGACCTTTCCACAGACCTAATATTAAAACAAAGCTGAAGAGTTTTTTTAAACGCTTTAATCTTGGGAACTACTGGTTTGAATTTAAAATTAGTTTTTTCTTGATTAGTACGTTTATTAAGGAAGACTATAAGCTCTATCTATAGTATCACGTTATAACTAATAGAAAGGGAACAAAAAAATGTTGCAATAACGTAAAAACAAAGCGGGCGATGCTGCTAGTGGAAAGCTAGTAAGTACTTTAATAATATTAGCATAGTATAAATGATAATAGTTTTTCATATTTTCATGCTCATATCTAAATAAACATAAAACATCAATTCATAATAAGTAGGGGTTATGATCCTTGACACCCCTGGATCCATCCTTGGTAAGTAAAGGAAGACGTTGAGAGACGAAAAATCAACGAACACGCAAACGACAATGCCGTAGCCGCATTGATTTTTTTATTAGTATCAATATTGCATAATAATATTGTTGATAGTAAATGGTGTTCTAGTTCTAGTTGAAAAATTTACAGTGATATAAAACGTAAGAACAGCATATGATGTCATGTTGTTAAGGTTCAATTTCGCTTGTCGGTTGAGGGGTTTTACAAGCGATAATCAAGTGACTAAACCAAACACTGGTAATTCCTCAGTCGGTAGCGTACTCGTACATTAGTTCCACCGTGCAGTGGTCTCGTTATAAAGTACAGTTTCGCACTGTGAATTTACTGCGCTGTTTACAAAATGTGTTCAAGAGTTTATATTGTGTATTTACTATTGTTAATTATTATACAAATTGCTATAGATGACGTGGATGGAGGTAAGATTTTTGAGACGAAAAACGTAAATAAGAAACAATGACCACAATAGAATAAATATTTTCGAACCAACTTTAAAAAGGATCGAGTACCTATTAAATACTTCTATTTATTTTTATTGATAGTTGTAAACTTAATCTGTGTTAAATTAGTTAGTAGTTAACAGTAATAAGTTTACATAATAACAAAGAAATTAAGTTAAAGTTTACATAGCATGCGTTTACGAAAAGAAACGTGATATATAACGGTACAATTCGGTAGGACATTCGACAGTCTTGAAAGCTCTGTGAAGTCGGCCAAATAACAAATTAAAAATAAACAAGAATTTACACCATAGAGTTGCAAGTTTCCAACCACAAGTTTACCTGTAATCATAAATATGACACCAGAGAGGGCCTATTCTTTTGTCCTCGAACGTAAATAGATCGTTCTTAAAAATTTATTTCATTTATTAGGAGTCTTATTAGCGTGCCTTGGTGACCTTTATTATTTTTTGTGATTGTTATATTACAACATGATACACAATATTCTTAATACAAAATGCTTAAAAAATTCACTTGGTCCCTGGCACCTGGAGAATTGATTAAATACGATACACAATGTCTTTGGGTCACCATAAAACATATATAACTATAACAAACTAGCTGTTTTTCCACCACTTTATTACACATAGCTAAGCTTCCTATAGGTGAATGAATTTAAAATCTGTCCAGTAGTTTTGGCATGAAGAAAAATGCAAACAAGCAAATCTTGCCTCTTTGTAACATTAGTATACCTACAAATACGTATATGGTGTTTTGAGGTAATAGCGACAACGAAGAAATTCTGATACTAACGAACTACCACTAAATCAGATATAATCACAAACCGTAATTTTTATACCCAATAATCTAACTAATCCATAAGCAAACTGTGGTGTTATAGTTGTTAATATAAATATGTTGTTAAAGTAGTGCACGGACAAACCTTTCTGGTTTTTGCTGCACTAAGTGATATGTAATTAATTATTATTCATCAATAAATTATAAAAAAAAAGTAAAAGATATTTTCCTTAAGTTAAATATAACAGAAACTCTCAATTACAAATAAATTAGGTGTGATAGAGGGACGGTTAGAATGGCACGCCCGTTCCATTTTCAGAGTTTAAAATATTCAAGCACTGAAACAAAAAAAGGAGTCGGGGCTTGTGTTGGTTTCAGGTGGTAAATATTAACGCTGAATTGAAAAATATATTATATTACGAATGTCATAAGGCGCTTTTATTATGTTCAACAAACAAAGTCATCTTGAACAATGATAATTGTTTTAGTTCAGGGCTAAACTTGGTATGACGTAGTTTATCTTGACTAATTACCTGTATAGCTTAATCAAAAAGTTGGGAATCTTGAATGGAAATTCTTTTATATGTAGACTCTGAATCAGAAGACATATTCTGTTCCTCTGAAAACGAAATAACGACGACTCATTTTTTTTTCAAAGTTTTAACGCACTGGGTAGGTTACCTCTGGTTTAAACCAATTTCATTGGGTTAGACCAGCGAATTGCAAAGTTTTTGACTAAGGAATCCTTTTGGAAGCCCAGTTTTTAAACGGAGCCCTAAAATAAAATCTACAATAGTTTTATGTGGAATGTTTAAATAATAATACTACATATATAAATCATTTGCTTTTTGCTGAAATATAACCAATATTTTTATGGGCCCCCGACATTATGTCGTCTCACGGCGCCACTCACGACCACATTTTGAGAAACGCTGTGTAAATAATATATTAAATAAAAGAGATAATGACGATGGATATGTTAACGCCATTATTTACGCCATTCATCGTATCAGGAAATTATATTAAATCTTATCTAATATATATAAGTGTAGGTTAATTATGTAGGCCAATCATTCAGTTCAATGAGTTAATTGAACAAAGAATCCAAACAATAGCCAATAATAATAATTTTACCTAAGCTTCTATTATTATTTATTTGTTGTAGATTGCAGTTTATCTTTACTCGAAGATTTTAGTCAGCCTTCACCGGTATTTTTGAAAGATGGCCGTACTTTGGCGCCAAATTCAGATGGCGCCTTTTTATTCCGACGTTCGGATACGCTGTTAGTTGCATGCCCGGGTGACAGAAGACATATACTTTTAGATAACAAGACCAGTGGTTACAGCGAATTGGTAAGATTTTTGTAAAAAATATTTCCTTCTTTGTTTCGGATAACATAATTCAGGTTAACGAGATTTTTAATTATCTACTAAATTGTGTTAAGTATTGAAATCATTTTTACGAGTACCTAGGTCTTATTCAAATCAAGAAATATAGCTCTTTAAAAAAAATTTCGTCGTATATGGAATAGGGAATAAGATTAACGATTATAGATTACGTAACCATTAACATCCTTCTGTGCTTAATATATTGCCTTGAACGACCAGGGTAAGCCGGTATTCCATCTTGCTGAGGAGCTCGATAGCGTAGTGTAGTAACAGTGGTTAGCGCGTTCGGCCTGCGATGCGGAAGTTAACCAACTTTCGTAATAGCCGATCATATTATGAGTACCAAAAATGTATTATCTTGGGCGACGTTAAGCCGTTAATCGCGGCTGCTACTGCAGTCGTTAAAGACCGTAACTGAACTTCCAAGGAGCACTTGAACACTGAAAATCCAAAACATTGTAAATGACAACAATTCTGATGAAAATTATTAAACATCGATTATGAAGGCTATATATTACTTGTATTGTTTCTTATTCGGTCCATGTCCACATACCTAAAGGTGTGACTATGTTATTTCAGGAGGCACATTGCATAATAAATGACACATTCCGTGTTGAACGCTGGATTGGTAAATTCAAATCAATCAAATGCAACACACAACCCTGGTTCACAACAGAAGACACTCAAGACCGGTGTTATGGAAATCATATACTATACAGGTATTTTAAAATAAGATACTTACAATAAAATATCTAAGTATAATATAATTTATATTTTTAACCGACTTCAAAAAATCATGATAAATCGAGACGACTGAAAAGAGACAAATATACCACAAATTTTTATCACCACATAGTATGCTTAAATCTTTAAGACTACGCAACGGATTTTGATGCGGTTTTTTTTATAGATAGGGTGATTCAAAAGGAAGGTTTTGTATAATATAAGACGCTAGTCTTCAATAAAATCGAAACATAAAAAGTGTGTACACCAACAATTTTTTGAGGTCGGTGGCAGCCGTGTCTTTAGTAAGAACTATCAGAAAATCTATCATTAAACAGCACTATCAGAAAATCTATTTCTTATCATCATATTTTTCTTATAAATGTCTGGCACCGTCCTCAAAAACAAAATTTTTAGTGTATACGCTTTTTAAAGATCAAAATTTGTGGTATTATTTCTCTCTATCCAGTCGTTTCTATTTTTTACGCTTTTTTGAAGTCTGTTTAATTTTTTTGAATCCTTTTTTACTCGTGCTTTTGAATAATTTCTCAATATTGTTTTATATTGTCGATTTTTAATAGTCTATCAATCTTCTCCCTTATTTAGTTTTTAGTTACCTACTTACTACTACTTGCGAATCATCACCCTTAATGTTAAATCGCATTAGGAAGGTTTTGATTACAAAGTGTATACACATTATTACATTTTCACTATAATAAATAATTTGACTCTTAGGTAAATGTATTTTTGTCAAGAAAATATTATAATTATAAATGAAATTTCATTTTAAATTAAAGTAATATGTGGACTTTATTTGTTTTGAACATAAACAATTTATCTTTAGGAATTCGTCACGCTTAATCTGTGCGTTTGATTAAGTAAAATTTCCTCAACACATTTATTTTTAACCAGGGTTGGATATAAACTGCGTAACAAATTCATCACGTTGTATCAAGCATGTTTCGACGACGCTGTGATGGCTACTCTCTACGTCACCCATGAGTTAAATCCTGCTAATAAGCATTTACAGCCTGGACAGCGGCCTAACTTTGTAGGTGGGTCACATAAACCTTTTCCAGTCTAATCCTAAGTACAAAGTAAGTAAACCTAGGACGACAAAAAATTTTATAGGATGATCTGATTTATAGTTGAATGAATAAATGCAAACTTAATTGTTAAACGATTGTAAGTGATTGTATAGCAATGCTAACTTGAGGAAGCACTGTTTTATTATAATAATTACGCCTTGGATGAAAAGATATTTGCTGACACTTTAAGTAATAATTAAGGTTAAATCAAAGTTAAATGTAATATAGTAAGGTTCAATGAAATAAAACCTACTTCAAAAGATAATAAAGGTTCTATTTCATTGAAACTCTTGGCTGTCACAGCGTTGATTTATTAAAATACTTGTAGCACAGCAACTTTGAAGGCTTATTTAAAGAAACCCAACAACACTTCAATTTACAAAGCCATTTTACTTACATTGCCAATTGACTCTGATAATTAATTATATTCTTTAACAGAAGGAAATCTATTTGGTAAAGTGCGTATGTCAGAGCTATACAAGGTGAAGAAGCAAGCCGAACGCCTTAACAACGTGTTGGGCGCCAACATGTCAAACATCTATCTCTCCAAAAAACAGGTACTTTTAGCACATTTTGTGTTTTTTGTACTGTATAAGGCATTGAATTCATATAAATTGACAAATAAAAGTTACTTTGCCACTTATCACACAGAATTACCGCAACGCAGGATTGTTTTTCAGAAATAAATACCTACTAGCATTTGCTTCGCATACGTGGGTAAACCACGATAATGACTCAATGGTACTTTTATCCTTAGGAAATGGTTTAGTAAAATATCAAGTAGCCTATACGTTAATCCAGGTCGAGAATTATCCGTATACCAAACATCAAAATCCGTTCAGTAGTTTTTGCGCGAAAGAAAATCAAACAAACCCATTTATAACTATTCGCTGCCTATATTAATATACGTATGGACAATACATCATATTCGCGTTACAGTAGTACAAATCAAACAAATTTTGTTTTGTTGCTGAAATTCAGATAAGAGAACTTAAAAACTATATTAAGTATGCAATGGTGGAAATAAATTCTCCTCATATTTTTTAGTTCCTCTCACGTGGACATCTAGCACCTCGCGCAGACTTTCTTTTGCGCGCTGAACAACAGGCATCGTTCCACTATGTAAATACTGCGCCGCAATGGATGCTCGGCAACGCAGGAGATTGGGCAGCTTTGGAAGAGGTGCCAATTATGTTTTGCATCGGACGATCTGTTCTAATTTCATTTAGCATTCAATATTCTCTTAGATTTGTAATTAACATTTATAATGTTCCACAGAACGTTCCCTCCGCTGCAATATGAATTTTGTTTAGTCAAACCGTTTTAAAACTTGTTTCTTTTATTTTTAATTTGCTTTTGGAAATCAAGTTTTCGAATTTTAAACGATAAATATATCTGTTTTTAAAGAACTAAATTACAAAATGATTTTTTAATGTTCCATATTTAAAAAGTAAATGTTTTTTTTAGTACATCACCTGCTTCTCGTAATGTATAGAGGATATTTTGTTTTATAGGCTTTGCGGCGCCGCATTCAAAAGTTAGGTAGGCCAGTTACTGTTTATACTGGCACGCACAAAGTAATGACGCTAGCAGACACACGTGGACGCATGAAACCGATCTATTTAGATGAAGATGTGAATAATAATGGGGTGGTGCCAGTGCCATTGTATTTTTACAAGGTAAACATATAGGAGAACCTAGAATTTTTCAATTTTTTTTTAAATAATTGGGATGACGACTAATAGAAAACTATTACATATGTATGTATTTTTTTTACTTCAATTTAACAAGAAATACCTTAGATAACAGGCATTAAAGTTAATCAGTGTAGGCTCACAACGTCACAGTTTTGTAGAAAATGTAAGAAAACGTGACGTCATGTGACATTTTAACTCAAAGTATGGAAGTAATTGATTGATTACGAAAAAAAAGTGTTTAATATTTTTCAACAATCTACCTAACGGACAAGCAAACAAAACTTAGTCGTCCTCCCTATTCAAATTATCCCCTCATGGCATTAGATCCAATTTAAAAAGTGGTATTTTAATAAATGCCATCTATTTATTATAATATACCTTGGTACATTATATAACGAAAACACTAAAAAGTGTTTAACATCCAGTTCGAAGGACCAAATATTTTGTACAGACATATCCATGAGTCAACTTGAAATTGAAAATCTTCAGTCATTATACTTCATTACAGTGTTACTAGCATGTAAATTAACACGAATTATGTCTTTTCAGTTGGTGTATGATCCGAAAACCAAAAAAGCGATCGCATTCGTATCGATAAACTCTTCATTTTACAGTGACGACTTGATAAAGAACCTAACTTTCTGTGAGGACATTTGTGGCGGGAATAATAACTACAACTGGCTAAGATGGCGATCGAATGACGGAACGTTTAGTTTTTGCTGTAGCTACGAAGAATTTATTAGTGAAATCAAGCATTTGCCGCGTTTAAACGTGAAAGGCATTTTTCATTGATGCGCTTTGCAATTAAATGAAAGTTGCAAATGGCTGAGATACTTGAAACTAAAAGCGACTAAAACCGTTCATAGATAAAGCTTCATCTGTTTTGGCGCACAGAAATGTGGTTCTATGACTATCTATTTTCTGACTTGTGACGACTCTCACGCTTTTAGCGACACCTTTTTGTAACATATTATCGACGGCAAAAACGAGGCCGATGTTAACCACTTTTTCAACAGCGAGTTATTGTTGAGATAACGTTTAATAAAATCCACACAAATATAATGGATAAAAATGAGAAGGAAGTTTCATTATTTTCAACAATATTTTATTTATTCTCCTTCTCCTCTGGAATTGCTGCCCGAGGCAGGCCCGGATTTACGATTTTCTAGCCGGGGCCGAAACTTATATGGCGCCCTTCTATTGATCAATTGTACCTACTAAGATATGAATTACAAAATTAAAGACTGAAATGAGATTGCTAAATGTTTTTGCGTTTATTATAAATATATTTTTTTCTTTCCTTACATTAACATCTTTGAGATATATTTTATACAATAAGGTAATATAATTACTACAATAATAAATACACAACGCCGATTAATGAAATATCGATACATCATTAATTTCAACGTGCCTTGTCCAACTTTGCCATTAAAACCCACGTAGTGGTAACATATTAGAAAGATGGAACGAGAGTGAGATATGCCTATACAATATATCACCTGACTTTTTCTCAAGTCCTTGGAGTTCTTCATGCTACGCGGACAGGATAGATAAAACAGTTGCTAATATATCTAATCATTTGTATCTTAGTGTAGCTACATCGATCGGTGACTTAACAAGTTCACAATCACCTATAATATTATAATAGTTCTGTGGTAATGACATTTCTGAAAAGAAAATGGCTGTATCGGCACTGAATTGATTTAAATTTGAAGATTATTTAAACGACACAAACTGGGAGCTTATTAATAATAGGAAAACAACAAATCCAACAAATAATCAGCCAGTTGTACAACCGCCCATAAAAATTGACTTGAATTTGAATCGACATTACCGATACAAATTGACATTCATTAGAAGTAAAAGGCGTCATTTAATGTTAATGGACGTTTGTGAAATTGACCGAATAAACCACAGATATTATAATACCATATTAGTAGCTACAGGTGCACGAGTTCATAGGCAACGATATATCGTTTCAAGAAACAGTTCTCTTGGCAAACTCTTATTCGTTTGTAATTAAAGCGAAAACAACGTTATTCGTGCGACTTCTTTGGTGAAATGAACTATAAGGAGGAAATATTAAAAAAAAAACTCTATTGTTTTTTTTTCGATATCAAACTAGATGATGGTATGTACTTTTTTAGTTTAAAGGTATTACAAATAAGTATAGTTACACAGTGTTTTATCTTTTTCACTCTAAGGGAAGTCACATTGGTGTGAACCTTAAACTGTGTATAACTTAAACTGTTATGAGTTTCGTATTAGTGACGGCAATGGAACCATTAAAAACATTTATTAACAAAAAACAACTATTCCTATTAAAACAGTCGCCATTCCTTTATAGCTAATGACTTAATTTTTTTTTACCATGTAAATACATTTTATTTACAAACTTAAATATACATTGTTGTACATAATTATTTAATGATTTCAATATTTGCGTTCCTTTAACAGTTTAAACAAAAATAATTTATTTGCTATAAACAATAAATCTCAAACGTTATTAGCAGTATATGTTATCACATTTATTATGTATTTTCAAAAGTTTACTTTTGTTCAAATACAGGTTGATCCATTTACAGTACCACCCTGTATGAAATCCATGAATCTATAACAGATCCATTCAGTAACAATCAAATAATTTTTCTAACAATATAAACATTTTTGTGACTTAAGTACATAAACAAATTCAGAATATTTGACTCAAAGGACCATTGACAAATGTTAGGCTAAAATAATACGATTTATTCTTATGAAAAATGTTTAAAAATCCACTTATATGTCTCTGGTACTCTGAGATGGAATCCAGAATATAATAAGAAACTAAGTTTTAATTGAAGGAATGATTCGTTTCCAATTACAATTTTGATTGTATTACATTTTATATACATTATAATAAAATTAATCACAAGATTTCATCTCTCTTACTGGCCGTAAATTAGTAAACGTATTTTTTTTTTAATATATTAGTTTAACACATCTTTCCCTTCGATAATAGCAGTCAATGCTTGCCTGTCTCTCTTATTCTCACAAGCACAAGCTATCAAAGCCAGCAAATGTTTATTAGAATACTCAGTCTTTTCCCTAATAAAATCTTCTAAACCTTTTCTAGGTAAATAGTAAGCTTTTACATACCTATCCACATAATCTTGATAAGGTATAGGTTTCAAACCCGATATCTTTTCTAATTTCACGAATAATTGTCTGTAATCTAACTGCATCAACCCTCTACCAGCATTAGAGCATTTGGTGGCGTTAGAAAAACCTTCTACTAATAAATGAACTATAAATTTTGAGACCATTGACCATATAGATTTTAAGACTGTCATGTTCAAAGTGATTTTAGATGAAATGTCATCTAAACGGATCGCGAAGACTTGAATTTTCCTAGTCAGCAGGTCTACGTAGGGACTGTGCTCAACAGCGACGGCTTTCACGTCCCATTTCACTTGAGACATCGCTATGAGAGATTGTCTCGCATCCACAGACTTTGACGCCGAACACATATAAATTGGCATTCTCAAATCAACGACAACCGCCAGAGTGTTATCTTTGAAATGTTCAAGTAATAACTTTTGATGTGGAGCCACTATCGACTCCAGATATGGTTGCAACAACTCGTACTGTTTAGCCAAAAATATGACACTCTCTACAGCAACTATTCTTTCACTAAGCCCATGAAGCTTCTCCTCTGAAGTCATGTCCAAATGTTGAGGTAAATCGGGACACGGAAAAGATTTCGCGTCACCATCCCCTGAATTAGTATCGATACTATTAGAGATTCTCTTCAAAACTAAATTTAATTTTGTCGTATATAATGTCGACGATGCAACGTCTAAGTCCGACGTGAAAAACAAGTGGACGGTATAGAAATAATAGTCGAACAATTGATTCATCAGCATTACGACTTCTAAAGAAATTTGTGGTAAGTATCTACAGATCTGAAGGTACTGGCCGCAGTTCCGCAACACCGACAGGGTTGTGTTTGTGACAATAACGCTCTCTTTCACTCTCGATGGACTCTCTAAAGATTTCTCATTGTGATTTGAAGAATACTCGTGTCTGTCGGCTTCGTCTACAAATTCTCTTTTTAATTCTTCAGGCTCGTCGTCAGACTCGTCGCTCGCCTCTAACTCTGGCTCCAAACCGAATATATCGTCATTTGTCACATTTTCGTTTCTAAATATTTCGAAAGGTGTGTGATTGGTATTTTTATTGAAATATTTAGTAATATAAACACTATCATCTTGAGAATGCACTGATGATGCACCGTCCGACAGCGATTTAACAATAGACGTATCAGCTTTGGTAGGACTCAAGTACTTTTTGAACTGTTTGAATTCTTGAAGATTGAGTAAATTGAAAGTGGATTTTACAGGACACTGTTCCCAGCCTTCGTTTTCTAAAAACAATTTTAGTTCCTCCATCCTGCCTCTGTGATAATTCTTTATATACGAAACACTTTGTGTTTTGATAAAGTCTTGAAGTATGTCGGATTTATCACCGCAGAATACCTCAGCCACTTGTGTCAGCTTCCTCAATATGCCGAGCATTTGTATAAACTTTTCGAATGCATACTCTTCTAATCCCGAACTTTTTAAAAATGTTGAAACCTTTGCTTGAACTTCATGCCACAACCTAATGAGTCCTGCTTTTAACTTCTGTCTAATGTATTCCCTACTAACATTTTTCTCTATTTCGAAAACGTTATTTGAAGTAGGCAGTGTTTCATCTTCATCATGCTTTATATGCCAGTTTACTAGTAAGTAATAACTACGCATAATCAAAAATAGATTTTCGCAAAGATTTAGAAGGCATATTGGTGCTTTGTTAGGCTGCACCGATTGACACATCTCCTGGAATTTTAAATCGATAGAAGCTTCTGTAATGTAAAGTTTTAAGGCTTCCACAGATGTCTCGTTGACTGCTGAGGAGTAATGCATGTGAAGTTGTTCCATAGCGGCTTGGGTCTTTCCCAACAAGTCGTATGCTTTCCTTAACTTCCTAAACAAATTCTCATCAAAATTGTAGCATATCGAAGACAACACAGAGTCCAATTTCTCTTCAGTCATATCAAGAGTGTCTTGAAGTCTAGTAGCAAGATCAGCTATGCACGTATATTCCTTGTGGTTACTAGCGGCTTTTCTACTCTTTAGAATCAATTCTATCGCTTCGTAATACTCTTTCCTATTTAACAAATCGGCGACGTCCTTCTCGACGCTACGTAAACTTCTCAACAACTCTAAAGATTTCAGCACTGATCTTATAATCTGTCTCTTTCGCACGTTAGCTAGTATGACAAAGGTGGATATGATGAGGTGGTTGGATGAGTTCCGCAAGTGTTCCCTAGCTTGGCGACATGTCTCTAGTGTCTTGGTTAATTGTTCCCGAATATTTTGAATCTCGGCAAATTCGCGATCACAATTGTCTCTCTGTTGAGATATTAAGTGGAGAGCTTTTCCAGATACTACCTGAAATAATGGGATATAGTGATAAGACAGGAAATTTCTAATAGCTAGGAGTATAAGTGTCGGTTTTAATTCATATTCTTAAAACTATAGCAAAAGTACCAGGATATCATGATTTGGTAAGAGTTACCTGCTGCTGACGCTTTAACTTGGTGAACATTTGCTCGATAGCCTCACATGTGGGGGGGCTCGGAGCGTTCTCCAGCACGTGCCGCCCGGCATCGAACTCGGAAGGAGGGGAGAAGTATACGTGCTCAATCTCACGGAGTACCTGAAGGGATTTTACGAGGACACTTATAACTACAAGTACATCAACGTAGGTACTAATTTTATTTTTTTTACACGTAAAGCGGATCATTATTTTTGATCTCTCTAATACCTATCATGTTTTAACTAACCATAAAATTGCTAAAGAAAGTGCAGTATTGAAATAGCTCTTGGCTTGGCTACATGACCGAAATACGATTTCCATTGGGGAGGCGAAAAAATTATAACAATGATAACAAATTATTAATAAAAAACACTTTATGGTATTTTGATACCTATTAGTATCAAAATCCTAATCATGTGTTCATACTATACAAAATGTACTTTGTTATTTCTTCACCTGAACAATATACCTAACTGAAACTTTAAAAAACCCATTTAAATCTTATTACTTATCAACATACAAGATTACTTTGTATTTACTCACTTCTAAATCAGCAGCAGAGTGAACAGAGCTCAAAGACCTGGAGTTGACTCCAGGAGGTCCATGGCGGTTTTCTATTCCGTCTTCAGACAACATACCTAGTCTTGATCTAAAATCAAACAAAATCAAATTTCACCTTTTTCATTTTATCAGCATCTATTAAATTCTAATTCTAATGTGCACACTTAATGATTGTTTTCACATTTAAATAATTTATAGTTATGAAACAGACGATGGCTTGACTTAGGACTCCCCCAAAAAGCACCATCTCCCACCAGCCGCCATGCTCAAATCATTGTTTCCTACACCATGGTGTAGGATTCTGGTAGAACTTACTAACAAAACATGACCAATATCAATTTAGAATAATATATCTTTTTAAATCCTTAAGAATTTATACAGATAAGAATATAAAGTATTGGTTTTTTACTAATCTAACTGAATGAGTCACCAAAAACACACATCTTAAAGCATTTTAGTCTTATGAAATTCGAACTTCAAATGTCTTCCAAAGTTTTGTTATTGTATTTTTATAATAATTTGTCAATATTTACTATTTTTTTTAAAAGGAAGAAAAAGAATAGTACTGGGACCACTCCTAATTTCACTCGAGTGTTATTTACATATCAAGAGCTCCTTAGTCTATCTATACAGTCAATTGCAAAAGGTTTCATTTATAGGACAGTGGTTTAAATGAAAACTTGGTAGCACTTGCGTTGCACAATTACTGCACTTCCAAGTAGTTATCAAATTCTACTTGAGATGATTTTGTAGGTTAGCATTAAAATAACAATTTATGAAAAAACACTTTACTGGCAAAGTTCAGTTAATATGGTAAGCTTGATTAGTATGTCATGTTTTATTGTAATTCAATCTCACATAAACCTTGCTGAACATACACTTTGAAAACCAATAATTAATGAATATGATCCAGTAGTGTTATCGTACCTTTATTAACTTCAGAAAATTGATTTTAAACAATTTCTATCACTTTCTAACCGACTTAAAAAAAAGGAGGTGCAATTCAACAAATGTAACCTACTTAAAAGATTGAAAATTTATACTTATCTTAAAAACTGTTAAACTTTTTAAGAAACATTGAAGTTGGGCAGTTAATATATAATTAACTACAGAAAACCTCAGCCCGACTTCAATGTTTCTTATATATAGTAATAATAAAATATATTTAAAAAAAATTGTATAGGTTTTTAAACTCAATATTACAATTGAGTAGCTTCTGTGCCTGAATGAGGAATATATTCTTAACCTGAATATACAGGGTAATGTGAAATATATAAATAATATTCCAACATAATGATAACACTAATATTCCTTAAAATAGTTAATATATTATTTAGTTAGGATTGCTCCGTTATGTAGGCACCCATATCGCAATACATAAATTCGAGCATACAAATGTACTCTTTGATTACTTACTTTTACACTGAACTGAATTATATATAATTAGTCTGCAATGACTTGGATTTATCAGGAATTGTTTGATATTGTTTAAAGACGTGACTGGCCAATACCGTAGTCAACAAACATTTACTTTTCATATTACAACAATGATAGAATTCACAATAAAGGCAATGGATATACTTTTAATATGTAATTTTACATTATAAAGAAGAGTCTCAATAGTCGAATAACGAGAAAACTTTGAAAAAGCTTTAATTTACTAGAAATCATCCGAAATCACTCGTACTAACTTGTGGCAGATACGATCACAGACTTAGCGATACGTCACTGTCATTCATTTTATTTAATTACTTTTAAAAATTAAAATGCACAGGCATTCGGTATATGGTATTATATACCGAATTTCTGTGCATTTTAATTTTGAAAAGTAATTAAAAAATCAGAAAAGTTCATGGATAGACGTGAGTGCGCCTAAACTTTTAGTTAAAGTCATAATGAGGATGTATTTTAAAAAAACGAAAGCACTAAAAATGCACCTCCACTAGAGGGCGATCCTAGCAAAAGTTGATTTTTGCATGAAACGAATGGACCAAAGACAGTAATTTCCGTTGCTTTTAACTAAAATAAGAAATAAATAAATTTGTAAAACTAAGATATCAATATAAATACGAAAAAGTACAATAAGAATATGAGTTATTTATTGATATTGAAAACTAATTTACTTTTATACATGAAAGTATAAAACTCATATTATATTTGAAATTTTACGTATTTGTATTGATATCTAAGTTTCGAATTTTGCAAATGTCAGTTTTTTAATATGTTAGTTAAAAAGAACCGAAATTACTATCTTTGATCCATTCGTTTCCTGCAAAAAATCAATTTTTGCTAGAGACGCCATCTAGTGAGGTGCTTTATTGGTGCTTTCTTTTTGACATATAAACCAAACATCGTTTCCCTTACATTTATATGTATAATAACTTAAAATATACTTATAATAATATCATAATAACTTAAAATAATAAATAACTTAAAGTTACGATTCAAATAAAACAAAATTAATTTTTTAGTCAGTAGTTTAGTTAGTTTTTTATATCTATTAATTTTCTATACTCAATTTACTTTTATTACGTCAGTCAGAAACAAAATTTGAATGAATACCATAGACAAGATCCAAACATCGCCAGTGACAGCTAGTTTGATTTCAAGAACATTTTTTTTTATTTTATATTTTTTATTTATTGACTAACCAACATCTGTTTACAATGATACATACTATTGATAACAATTTTTTTTCTGATTTATTGCAACAGGCACTTTAAGGTTAGTTCCGCATGCATAATGAGCTTACAATATCTATTTAATTATTAATTAATTACAGACTTCAAAATATATATACACATACGTAATGAACAGAGGTCGGAATTAGGTAGAGTTATTTATGTACTTGCATCGAAATGTTGATATTAATGTCGACCTTCCCGGGATTTCTAATGGACAATCCCGTGTGGCCAAAAATCTTACAACTAAATAATAATAACAACGTCAGAGATAGACAAATAATACAAAGATAATTAACATAAAATTTTTATTAGTTTACATTAATTTAAAATACAAATTTTCATACGCATATTTCGCGTTTTTTATAAATACGAGCGAATACTTTTGCTTCTAGCCTAGACTCATGAGGTTTTTTTATATTTTTATTTATGCATGATGGAAATCTTTGGTATTCCTTATAACAAATCCTAATGCCCTGGATGCTTTACTGACTATGTTATCTATTTGAGGTATAAAGGTTACTTTTTTATCGAAAAGAACACCCAGATCTCTAATTGTCTCTACTTCTTGTATTTTGTTTCCACTTATATGATAATCACAATATAATGGATAGATAGATAGATAGATAGATAAATGCTTTATTGAACCACTACTATCACTACATTATAAGTTGTTATAAAATACTTAGTTGGTGTATAGAAACATTAAAATTACAAAAGACAACGATTTATATCATCGAACTAGAGTGTGAAGCAGTAGCTCAAGAGCTATACAGCTCAGTGTTGGATGTTCCATATAAAATGAAAAAATATAAAATTTCATATGGAAACATTTTTTTAGGTTTAAATACATTTTGTTAAATTAAGCCATCCAAATTCGCCTGCAGAAGTTTCATATCATTCTCGGATTCGATCTCTCGTGCAAATTTTATATCATCCGCATACACAAAGACCTCCGAGTATTTAAAGTTTTTAGCAGAAATAGAAATTGGGCCCAAATGTGACCCCTGAGGAACACCAAAAGTAATTGAGAACCGTTTACGACAACCCCAAAAGACCGATTGTTCAAGTAAGAACTGAACCATGAGAGCAGAGAGTCATTGATACCATATGCAGACAATTTATGGATCAATAGACTGTAGGAAATCTTATCGAAAGCTTTTGTTTGTGTATAAACGACGTCATACTGCTTGCGAAATTTAAAAGATTGGTTGCTGGTGAATCACGAGGAAAAATAGGATGGGGGCGTACCTGGTTCACTATGTCCCAGCGTGCTGGTTGTTCTGGACGCGCGTCTTATTTCCTAGTGGTGCACCACACTTTTATATCACTTGTTCGCGAGACAAACGTGTCGATTGCCGTTGTGGGGAACCCACTATACATACATACAACATTCCATATTTATTTATATATATTCACCACTACCATAAACATTCACATAGATTATTGATTTATACTCTCTGATCAAATCATTTTTCGGAATTTGTTTCAGTATTAATATCTTTAAGACATTGATTATATTTTGTTATTTTGAGATTGTATATATTCAGACTAAAGAAATCGTGCAAAGTTATTTGGAAGTTTCAATTTTCGTCATCGCTACTGCCATACCGTGATTCTTCCGTGAGTGTCATAGATTAATAAGGTTTTATAGTTCATAAAGAAAAACTGTTTGATGGTTGTCTATTTGACATATAAAGAAAATCCAAAGATCCAAATACATTACCAAAGATACAATATCGTTTTATTATAAACATTACTTAATACCTGCAAATTAAATAAAAGAGAACGTGGGCCAAGTTCCCCACATTGTGGCGACCGTCTTTATAAAGGAAGTAATAGAAAAGCGATATTATAGAGATGGATCTAAAAAGATTAACGCGTGAGAGAGATCATCTTCGAAGAACATTCAGCCGCCATGAACCAACTACCGTTTCATTAATCGACTTAGAATTTTTGCAAGAAAAAATTGAAAGACTTGCGATTGTCGTTAAGGCTATTCAAGATCGGATGCTAGCCGAAGAAACATTTGATGAAGAAGCCTTTAGAAATGAATGCGAGCAGTGTGACGTTTATCGAAAAAAATGGCTAACGGTTAAGATGAAATTAACGGATTTGGGTTGTAGGAGTGAGATTATTAAAGATGGAAACAAAAAACATAATCTCAATTTACCCAAATTAGAGATACGGAAATTTGACGACAACCCGAAGAAATGGTTATCGTTTTGGAGTCAATATAAAAAAATACACGAGGATCAAACAATTGATGCTGAAACTAAGTTTCAATATTTGACGCAAGCAATGACCCATGACAGCAAAGCAAGATGCCTCGTTGATAGTTACCCACCGACTGAAGAAAACTATGTAAAAGTGATACACACTTTAAAGGAGCGTTATGGTAAAGACGATATGCTAATTCAAATATATGTCCGTGAATTGTTAAAGTTAGTGAATACAAATAGCAAAATGTTATTAAGTGATTTTTATGATAAGATTACAACTAATTTACAAATATTAGAATCTTTAGGAATTAATCACGAAAAG